TGGAGATATACCCCCTGCCCACCCCTGCTGTATGTGAAGGGCTGTCTACTCCAACTCTGGTTTAGAGAGAGTTTCCTAAGAAGCGAAAGGAAGTGCCTTGAACTGGTCATTCAGCAGCATGTACCTGCAGAGCAGGCTGAGCAGTCAAACAGGTCAGGGGCTTACAGTCTTCCCCACTATGGTGAAATATATTTATTTTTATTTAAATTTTATGTAATTGTTTCCAACTGTCTTAACACATGCACATTTTATTTGTATCTGTACCTTTTTAAAAATGATATAGTTCCTCTTTTTTTGGCAATGTGTAAATGCCCCCTATTTATAACCAGCTGCAGAAGCTTCTCCCAACAGTACATGGAGTACAATACCAGGAAGCAACCTTAGTCACAGGAGAACAGAGGCAAAACCATAAAAGGGCTGAAAGAGGCCATTTTTCTTTCCCTCACAAGCAGTTCTGTCACTTTTGTACATCAAACTATGCATTTTCCATTTCCCTATGGGATAAAAGGGACAGCAATGTTTTAACACACACAGGGTATGCTTAATTTTCATTTTTATGAACACATTATGGAAAGTTTTTAACAAGTAATAAAGAAGACATTTTTTATACTTTGTAGCTTTTAAGTATCTGTTTTTCATCTTCTTTGGTTGCATCATTTCTCTCTCCCCTAATACAAGATATAAAACTGAGACACATGTCAAACCTGGAACACAAACTTATCAAAGAATACAATATATATTTGGAAACTAAACGTAAACTAAAACTTGACATACGTTGCCATGTTTCAATCTGTATTCTATGCACAAACAGAATTTTTTGGAGATGAAGAAATGCTACTGAGTAGTACATCTGTATTTTGGAGGCAGCACAGTAGAGTGGTTAGAACAGTTGATTAGGAATGAAGACTCAGGTTTAAATCCCAACTCAGCTATGAAGCTCAGTGGGTGATCCTAGGCCAGTCATTCCTTTGCTACATGCATGGCAGTTGTGATAAAACTGGGGAGAAGAATTCACACATATCACCACAAGTACCTTGAAGAAAGGATTGGTAAATAAATGGACAACATTTCGCGCAATGGACTAGGATAAGATTGTTACCAGGCCACCTAACATCGGCATTAGTCCATTTGTAGTCTGCGCACAATGTCCTGTGATATTGAAACATGGGAAGCAGTGGGGAAGCAGCAGCAAAATGGCCAGATCAGATCCTACCTCCCTTCCATGCGAAGTTCTATATAAATCCCTTCCCTGCTAGTACACAATCATCGCAGCAGGAGATGAAGAGCAGAAGACTGCAGCTAATCCCAGCCCTGGCCACACTGGAGGATGGGACCAATAGCCATTCTCAACCTGATGTCATATTGTTTGATTTCAATTCCCATAAGCCACAGCTAGCGTGACCAATGAGCAGAAAACTTGGGAGTTAGTCCAGACTTCCCTAACTTGGTATTCGAGTCCAAATACATGGAGGACACCAGTTTAAGGGAGGATGGACTAAATCAGTAGCAACCATCAACACAGCAGATAAGCACCACCAGCTACAGCACTCCGCCCTCACATTTTTAGAACTAAGAGCATGTGTGGAAATTTGCAAATATAGCCAGATTCCCTGTCACCAAAGTTCTCCCCTTCACTAAAAGCTGAATAAGGGAGTAGGAAAGAACAGATGAAAATTTGTCTTTGAATCACGGGGCTCTGCGTAACAGCCCCCAAACAGAATCTCAGTTTTTGCTCATCTTTGGCACAGGGTGGCAGGGCGCTCCATTTTTTTTAGATGGACATAGCCATTAAAGTGTTGCTTGGGCATTTTGAAAGCATTGTCCCTAGCTGTTAAATCCTGTCTTGTGATCCCTGAAAAAGCCTCAGCAAGCACAAAGGACATGTGATTGTGGCAGGGAACACAGAACTAGTGCTGGCTGCCCCAAAATGCTACTTGGGCACTTCTGAGGTGACTGCATTGATGGTAGCCTGGGCAAGCATAGGAAGAGTGGCAAGGCAGTTTTACTGCTCTAATCAAGGAGTTGCTGCTTCCCTTCACCCATGATGGTTGCTTGACTGCAGATGATGCATCAACTCAGCATGGGTGAAACAACTCCCAGAACTAGCTATGGGTTGCCAGGGCAACTTGTCATCTTCAAACAAACCAATCTGTGGGAAACAGTCCAGGGTTTACAGCTAGAGTACTATTTCTGTTGTGCCACTGAATGCATTGCAAAGGTTAGGGTGAGGGAGTCATCACTGATTGTGATTTAATAAACGTCTATACTTCTTTTCCTCACCAAAGCCATTTGGTCTGCATTTTATTTATAGTTTATTTTAAGCCCTTCTAAATCTTTTGGATTTCAGGACAGTGAGTAAATAAATCATAATATGCAACAATGAATAATATACTTAGAATAAATTATACTTAGAACAGGTTAAAACTTTTTTGTCTGGTGCTTGTAATGTTAGCAACAGGTAAGTTTCTCTAGAGTTCATTCCATATTATGGAGGGTGGTCTCTATCCTTAGTTAGCCTGTATCTATATCCAGTCTATGTCTATATCCAGTACAGTCATTAGTACAGAGCACTAAAAAAAAGGGCTTCATTACTACAGTCTTACCTCCTTCCAAAACGGCTTAAGAAGTGGCTTCTTGTCCATTATTTGAAAATAAGCTTCATCTACAAGATGACACACAATTCCATGATAAAGGAACCCAGGTAAGCTCCATTCCTGCACTAGGGAAGGCAATGGAAACACAGCCACTTTTGCTAGTGAATACCAAACATTCCTCTCTACTCTCTATTTTTACGGCTGGCCAAACAATTGTGACTTGCTTCCTTTCAGGATACAAACTGGACACATGGTAGAAAGAAACGGTCTTTTTACAAAGAGAAAGAAACCTTCTTTTGTGTTACTTACTCACATAGAATCTTAGATTTCTTAGCACAAGAATTGTTTGTAGAGATGATAGTCAAGGAGAGATTCTTCTGCCTCCTGATTCGATGTAGTTAGGAAGGTGAGAAAGGATTCTCATACATTATGAGAATCTGAGATCAGTGAAAGACGGACCCTTAGCAGAGACTGTTGTTTTGCCCAATATTGTGGTATGACTACAGTTTCAGCCTAGCAGAAAATTCCTTAACTGCTCGACTAATGTGAGATCACTGCCCCCTCCACAGATCTTCACATGCAGCAGGCTGTATGAAAATGAGTATACAGAAGGAAGGACTGTGCAGAACATCCACCTCTAGGACACATGACTGATGTTGGCATCGGGTTGCAAGCCTCAAGTATTAATAAAAATGTTTAAAAAACAAATGTAGGGTAAAGGGAGAAGTGAGATTTGAAGCAGCAGCATTATTTAGAAAGTCAGTTTACACAGTACCACATTTACTTTAAAAATTCCCGTTGGGTGGCTGCCTTAGTCTACTGCAGCAAAAGTAACAAAAAACTTTGAGACACCTTATAGGCTAAGTAATTTGTTTGACATATCCATGAATGGACTCTAGACCACTGTATTGGATGCATCTGATGAAGTGGTCTATGGTCCACAAAAGCTTTTGTCCAGGTAAAATTGTTAGCCTTTAAGGTGTTGCAAGGCTCTTGTCTTTATTTCTTAAAAATATGTCAGGGGAATGGACCAGGGAAGGCACCATAACCTCTGTAACCTGAGCCCTCAGTGTGGGATTAGTGGAGTTTGGATGAATGCAGAAAACACATCACTCCTAAGGATGACTTTCTCCACTAATCCTAAGCATAACTTAATTGAAGTTTACAGGGTATTAAGACTGATTAGTACTGTACGTTCTTGGAAGGGTAGGGTGCCAATTCAGCAAACAAACCAGAGTGGTTCCCCAGTCAACCAGGAAGTAGTTCTTTTGAAGCTGTGCTCCACTTGCTGCCTCTTCTTGAGTAATCAGCTAGCTGAACAGAGAGGCAGACCAGAGTCACTGCAGAGCAACAACAGGGAAAGTAATTTTTCTGTTTCCTGTCTAAGCCAACAGTTAACAAATTTACTTGTCCAAGAGAAACTCAAGCAAGGCAGGGAATTTGTGCCTCATAAAAACTAAGAAAGGATCTGGCCCTTGTTTCCCCAAAACAAATGCGTTCTGTGGCACGCTGTAGAGGCCTCCTCCCTAGCAGCTGGCTCTTTGCAGTTTCTTCACCAAATCCACAAAACCCCTCAATTCTTGCAATAATTGTGTCTTTACTTCAGCCCTTTGTTAGTCAGGGCTGCAGATCAAGACAGGCTTTGTTCTTTAGAATGCAGAAGGTCAGCTAACTGGTCATGCAACATACTGTGATACTTCTGTGCTTGAGGGCATTCTGGAGGAACAGATCAACTTTTGACAGCAGTCTTCCTAGGCTAATCCAGGAAGAAACTCAAGTCCTCAGCTTAGTATGACCAGAAAGGGCCTGAAAATGCACAAACAAGGGGAGAGGAAATGTACATTATTCTATATAGTTCCCTGGTCTATGAATTCTCCAAGCACAGGGCCTCCAATGCATGCCTACCACGTTTACGAAAGAGCTACCCAAATGGAAGGAGACCACCAAACAAGGACACTACAAGCCGCAATAGTTCAGCATATTTGCACAGGAACAAGTTTCTGCACATCTCCCTTCAGTGTCAACCTGAGAAAAGTGAGGATCCCCAGCAGGCTTATGGCCAAACTCTCCCCCCCTCCCCGCCCAAGCTCCCGATGGGGTGACTGGAGTGCTAAGCTCAGTGCCAACTGCCTGAGCTCAGACTCCCATACTTCTACCTGTACTTTGAGATCCCATCATATTCTTAATACTAAAATGTAGTATTTTCTTCTGATGCTTAAGTAACAGTGGCAGCTGCAGTTGCTTGCAAGATCTAAACTGTGTCGGACAGCTTTCTCAAACCTGGAGCCCTCCAGTTGTGCTGGAGTACAACTCCTTGCATCCCCCAGTCAGCCATGCTGGAAGCTGGAGCCAAACGCATCCAGGGGGTGATACAGAGAGTTACATTATCTCAGGAAAAACAAAAGGTTAATTAAAAGAACATTTTTATTAAACACCAGAAAAGTCTCAATTAAAAATGACCATTGTTTATCTTGCCCAAGGAAGGCTATGGCTTCCAGTGACTCATACCCTGAGTGCTCAAGAACCTCCACATCCACAGGGAAAGTGTATGAAAGTTCTTAAACCCCTGCCCAAGTAGTCAACTTATCCCTAGAAACAGTTCTGCCAGCACAGGGACACAAATTCCGGCATATATTCTGGAACAATCTGGAATGTGAGCCTACGTCACTGAACAAGGAAGTCCAGAACATTCTAGGCTGCAGTGAGAGCAACAGGTCCCTATATCTGAATCAGCACAGCCCAGCAACGTGCACCATCCAAACTGACTGACCCCCCCCCCCCCACACGGCCTGCTTTAGCGTCTCCAGCAGTGGACACCTAAAAGAAAGTGACGAGTGCACATTGTAACTGTTGCAGACATTCTAGGATTAGCCTTGGGGCCACTCCAGACCTCCTCCAGTCCAACAGGAAGGAATGGGTGGCAGGCTTGCCTCTCCTTCCCTCCAAGAAGTGACCTACAAAGCCGCTTGGGAGGCCTTGAGTTCATGCTGTCAAAAACCAAGGATAGATGCGAACTATCCAGTTGCAGGTATTAGATGTTGCTGGAACTTCCAACAGCAGCAACATTCAAAATCGGTGACGTGCATCAGAGACAAGGATGTGGCTCGAACCCTTTCTTCCCATTCCAACAGGGACAGAAGCACTTCAGTCAGTTTTTCCTTCACTCACTCCAACACCTCAAGCACCGTCTTACGGAGAGCAATTGAGAACATCTCTTCCCAAGGAACACGCAGCCACTCCACCAGCTCAACCAGCAGGTCTGGACACTCTGTTCGCAGATGCCAAGTGCTCTCTACCTTTAGAACCTGCAGCGGGAGGAGGCAGAATTCAACTTCATCAGGGACTAGACAAATTCTGTGATAAGCCCCTGGACTGAATGCAGGTTGCCATTCAGATTGGCATCGGCAGCAGTATTTGTAGATCTGGGCTTTTATGCCTGCCCAAGTAGTGCTTTACTGTTTGGGTCATGGCCAAGGATGTGTAGATTTAGCTAAAGGAATGAAGAGACATAATAGTGCTCATGTTTCTCTAAGGAACACTTGCCTGGTACCATTCCAATCCTCTCACCCATTTTAGTATCCCAGAAGGAAGCCTTTTTGCACCATTACTTGCCTCATCATACAGCTGCAGCTTCACATCAGAAGGGGAAAAACGGTAAAGTATAACACCAATGATGCTACTGATTGGCTCATTCTCTTTCAGCTGGAAGTAGTTGCTAGACTCCTTCTCAACACCACTGTCTGAGTTAGAGCAGGATGCCCCTTTTTGGCAGTGGTAATCTTCCTCCACCAGCAATATGTTACTACGGGTGCTGAGCAAGGTCACAGGCAAGGCAGAAGTCCCTGAAAAAGAGTTGCATGGGCTGATTATGAAACACAAATTATACACATTACCATTCTCTTATTGCCGTTGGACTAGATAACTACAGGAAGATCACCCCCAAGACAATACCTTGGATGAGATATGCCAACAAGTAGAAGAAGGGTCTGGTTGAGCCACATGCAGCTTCTCTTGCTAGGTCCTTGTCAATCAAGGGCCTAAGACACAGGAGCAAAGGACTGTAGTGAGCCTGCTGGTATATTCACCTTCAGCTGATGCCCTCCCAGCCAGCCAGCCAGTTCACCTCTCTTGCACAACTTGAAGTTTCCTCTACATGTCTGTCACACCACCACTGAATGAGGACTAAAACCCAATTCACATTGCACAAAAGCCAAGCTTCTTACCACAATGGATGCTGAGGGTTCATTTCCACCACAGTAACATCTGGGATCTTTTCTCTGCTTTTGGCTGGCAATTCCTGTGAGAGATCTGGACAGCACATTGAAGGCCATTATTACATAACCAAGAACTTCTGTTTTAAGCTAAATTTTCCTGGACTAAGGGCACAGTCAGTAAAAGGCAACTATTGAGACCAGATTGTACTGTGCCAGTGAAGAGAGCTTTCCTTCATAAAGGCCTCAGAAGAGTCAAATTAGCACAGTTGGCACTTGAAGACCAAGCAAGAGCTGAAAGCCAACAAGCCACACCAAATACAAGGAATACCATAACAAGATGACTTAAGGTGCATCACTTTGTTCTGATTCTCTCTCTCTCTCATACAGCCCCCCCCCCCCCGTCCCAAGATGGAAAGCTCAGATCCTCTGTATGTCTTCTGAGCTCTTGACATCCAAGTCCTTCAACCTCTAAGAAAGTGAAGCTTGTCCACATGCACAGAACCCAATACCCGCTCTTACATGTCAGGCACTGGAGAAATCTTCTGCAACGGCTCTGGTTGCGAAACAGCAGGGTATAGGAAGCACAGGGATTCACAAATGCCATATGCAAGCTCTGATGGCACAGCCCTACTTCCAAGCAGGAAAGGTCAGACAGGCAGTGATGGTCACACTTCTTCAGCCAATCTGATGGCTGTCCCCTAGCAAAGATGAATGCAGAAGCCATCACATATAAAGGTAGGGCCCATGCCACCTAGTAGGGTAGGGGGAGGGATCAAGTACACAGGGTGCCTTGTTTGGCAGAGAGTAGCACTGAGAAGGGAAAAGCATGTTTCAGGTTAGAAGGCCAGCTCCCATGCCAACCTGTCCATGTACCAACATCCTGTTTGGAGGTTCTCCTCCAGGTCTTGGAGCTATCTGACATGAGACCGATGATGACCAGAGAGAACCTTCTCAGTGGTTTCATCCCATCTGTGAATTCCCTCCTAAGAAAGAGGTTGGCCTGGCACAAACATTGTTACCATTTTGGTGCCAAGCAAAATTGTATTTGTTTGATATAATTAAAAAAACCTTTAATATCCCTGTATTTCTTATCTTTTTTAAAGTGCCCCAGAAACTCAGCTGAAGAGTGGTAAAAAAATTAAAAGACATAAAAGGGAGGCACCACAGCTCAGGGGTACATCACAGGCTTTGTATAAAGATCATGAACCCAGGATGTTCCTTGGCATCACCAGATAAAGGACCTTGAGTAAAAGATGACAGGAAGGACTTCTGCCCAAGATCCCCAGAGTAGACAATGCTGGATAAAATAGACCAGTGCTTTACTTGACCAAAGGTAGCATTTTGTGTGTGTGTGCATGCCATCTTCACAGCTCTCTTAACTGTAGCAAGAGCATGTAGAGACAAAAAAACTGAACTTGAGTGAGATGTGTCCCCCACAATCACTGCTTACCTTATCTCCCCTTTTATCTCCAACACATGAAGATGGACATCTGAAACCACCATGAGTGCCAAGAACTCCCCAAGCCGGCCAGTTTTCACTATAGATACCTAGAAAAAGCAGGGCAGAATATATGCTCTCGATCAGAGAATGCCAAGCCTCCAAAAAGCACACGATTCATTCCACTGGGCCATTATAAATCCAATTACACTCCCAGCAGTATCTTAAATTGTCAACCCTGGCAAGCGCCAGTTATCATACCTTGACAAAGCATTTGAACTCTTCTGCCTTCCCAAAGATCTCCATATCCAAATAAAGCTTTAATCGATGGTCCACAGAAAAGAAGTCCCGCATATCCAATATACTGTTGTCAGCTAGGAGGGGAAAGCAATAGCATTAATCACAGTGGGGTGGGGCAAAAAACCAGTATTTGATTGGGTAGTCACTGGTTTCCATATCAACCACAGCTATCAACCTGCTGGCCAGGGTCTACTACAAGGACACCTCAAATCGAGAGCAAAGTTTAGAATACTTCTAATGCAGGCCATTATGCTTAGATTCACTGGCTCAGCCAAATAGGACGAAGACTCAGTGAGCTGCAGCTAAGAAGACTTTTATTTTCTAAAGAGAGAACTCCCTCTGCTGGAACGTGCTCATATTCCGCCTTTGCTCACATTGGACACCGCTATCTAATATCACATTTTCCATGAAGACTTACACCCTCTAGAGTTGCAAGTCAGGAAAAGGGACAGATTAGGTGGTGGTGGTAGCCCCATGTGACCCATCTCCCAGAGATAACAGCATTCTCACACCCTCTCCTTTTATCGTGGAATCTTCACTGCAGCTAGACCGGTAGAACAGGGTAGAGAACTCAAATGATTCCAAGGACGGCTTTTCTAGCTTTCATTCAAGAGGGCTGCAATGTAGCACTAACTAGGAAGCCTTGTGTCTCATTTTACTTATCTATTCTGTTTTAGCCCATGTGTCTAACTTCCCCTTTTTAGAGTGCAAACCTATGCATGTTTAGACAGAAAAAGTCTTCTATCTATAGAACTATGCTCTTAGAACACCCTAATGTACTTTCCTTTCTTTGAAATATAATCTCTGTTCCCTCTCCGTTGTTTCTCCATCTTACATGTCTCTCTGCAAAATTCTCTCAGTTATCCCAGTCTCTTGCCTTGGCCACTCCATGGAACTCAACTATTACTCTGCTTCATTCCTCCAAAAGCACCTGCTAGTCTTCCTGCTGAACTCAGCAACAGCACACAAACAGTTCGCTCAGCCAGCAGTTCACACAAACTAAAACCCTTCTCTTCCACTTATGAAACAGCAAGCCTGGACTTGTAACTGAATGAACCTAATAGGAGGGGACTGTTGCTACCTCTTGCTCACCGATTATCATACCAGGATTCATATGTCCCAGTCTCACATTACGTTTATTACTGTGCACAAAGTATTACTGTGCACGAAGTGTGGAAATTGGCAAGGGCAGGCCATCCAGTCTGGCTAGTTGGTTCCAATGGCTAAAACACTGAAATCAAGTCCATGATGCACCTCAATTCAGGCAGGAGAAGCAATACAGAAATTCTCCTGCCACAGCCACTGCTGACTGTTTAGGGCCAGATACTCCTACAACGAAATGGAAATGGGCTGGATACAGTTGATGTTTTGGAATTGCTGCAAGGAGCCACAGGCCTTCTCTAAGGCAAACCCAGGTTAAGCCAATCCTAACTGGCTGCTGTCGCTTCCCTTTGGCACTACTAACCATCATTAAAACTTTAGCAGCATTTACACATCACTCAGCAAGCCCCTTGGCTGCATTTAAAGCAGGCATTGAAAATTATTAAAAGGCACTTAAAAGAATGCCCTTCGCTACCAGCAGATGGAGTTCATGCTTTATTGACTGCTGCACAGCAATCATCTACTGTAATGGCAGACTGCCTTACGGACATGCTCTACAGTTAAAATCTAACTCTCAGCTGGGAATGACTCCTCTGTCAATTCCAATTGCACCTTACTCCTCCCAGTTTCCTGACAGACCCACTCATGCCAAGTCCCACACCACTGGCCACTCACGGGGGCTAAGGTTCCAGTGCTCTTCATGCTCTGAACTCAGGGAGAGCTGGGAAGGAGTAGGACCACGGGAAGTGCTGTAATGATAGCTCCCCATCAGGCTCCCTGCATTGGTGTCTGTGTGGCTGAGGGAAGAATAGTGACCCTTGGAATTCAAAGTCTTCCGGCTAGCATCAGCCCCTTCAGAACTCTGAGAGCTAGAATGGGCCATGCTGCTGTGTTCGCTGCTGAGCTCTTGAATTTGGGTACTGGAACCAGTTCCCATTTCGGAATTGTTGTCTTCCCCGATATAGAACTTTCCTGACTCTGCCTCCTGTTGAATTTCACCAAGGCAGTCCTGTGGGAAAAGTGGTGAGCTGGAACATCTCTCACACGGCAAGATCACCACATGGTCACTGGAGCAACTGGGGCAGATGATGGGCTCGCTGGAAGCAGCAGTGTCTGGAGGAGGAAAGGAACAACGCAAACCATTTCTGTATGCCGCAGTCCTTCTCTCAAGGCAGCGGTCAAGCAACAGGCTCTCCTCCCAGAGCCCAAGGTCTGCAGTAACCTCCAGCTCCATGAGTTACTCCAGCCACCCTGCCTTTTCCTTTCAGAGTTTCCAAGGCCATCCACTGGATTTTCTCTATTGTCAAGCATTCGTGTAAACAGTTGGCTAATTATGCCACAAAGTGCTTTAAAATATATGTCTCAGTCTTTTACAGACAAGCCTGAGTATAGAAAGGAGAAAGTTTCTGTTACAAAGTTAGAGTATCACCCCACAAAAGGAATTCACCTAAATAGCCAAAATAATGACTAATGCCAGATTAGCTCACAACAGAAAGTAAATGTGAAGCCAGACAAAAATAATATAATCATAATGTTACACAAACATAACAATAATGCATTAAAAGATCTAGTATAACACAGATGTAGTGGAAGACTAATCCAATCTAGGAAGACATAGGTCCTTAAAGTTCTAAGAAAATTAAAGTCCCCAAATTCCCTAGAGTCAGAAAATGCTGCAATTCAAAAAAGTGGGAGCCTGGTCTAATAATCCACTTGAGTCTTTCCTTATTCAAGCAAAAGCAACTACATTACAAATGGCCGACTACTGAACCACTGACAGATTTTTTTTGCATACCTACCAGTTCTAACAATGTTTGGAGACTTTAAAAGTTATGATTCCATGTTACAGTAGGAGCAGATTTTAAGAGAGGCATCCCTCCAAGATTAGGCAGCAAGCCAAGGCTGAAAAAGCAGCCCTGGAGCCAAACCCTCACTACAAAACTACACGGGCTACCCCTCCCCCATGTCACTCAGAGCAGCTCAGAGCTGGGCCATATAATCAACTGCAAGGTTTCAGCAAGTACCCCATACCTTGCTCAGAGAAAGTTGCAGCCTCTTTAGCAGGGCCTGGACTCTGCCAGCCAAGCATCGGGCACCCGGCAAACTCCTGTTTGCATTTCAGGCACTGGAGCTTCGGGCCTCCCTCTGCCTGACCTCTGGTCTTCTCTTTGTTTTTCTCTAGAGTGGGTACCAGCACACTGAGCAAGTCCTAAAAAGAGCAGCAAGATAGGGGCAGAAGGGCTGCCAATGGACATCAGGCAACAGCTGCCTCCCCTCCCGCTCTTCAGGCTAAGCCAAATATTACAGACTGCACTTTAGTCACAGGTAGAGATTACTGGGAGACAGGGGGCCCAGGAGCAAGCATGGCCCTTCACTCCAGGCCAATTAGCAAGAGGAAATTCAGGAAAACAGAAGGAAACATCTCTTTACCCAGTGCATACCTGCAGAAATTTGTTGTCTCAAGAAGCAGTAACCACTAGTTGAGATGCCCTTAAAGGTGGGTAAAACAAATTCATGAAGGAAAAGTGACTTTTAGTAATAATGTATAATAGCCAAGAGACATCATGGTAATAGCTATTACCCAAATGGCTATTAGTCATCCTGGCTACCTGGAACATCCAGGTTTTAGAGGGAGAGTGCAAATAGCTGTGGAGTAATGGGGTAATGGGGAGAAGACAACTCCGGAGGACTACTTTGAGGGCTTCACAGAGACACTCCAGAGGCCACTATGGGGAACATGATGCTGGACTAGATGGGCCAAATTTATCCAGTGGGTTACTGCATATCACTTTCGTCTTCTCTAAAAACTTCAATAACTAAGACCTGCGAGGGTAACACCTGCCCCTTCCATTCCAATGTCATCATGAACTCACCTGTACGCGCAGTTCAGGCTGGTCATCCAGTATCACATAGCGACGCTTCTGACGGTCCTTGCAGATGTAGCTGAAATGTAGCGTAAGAACAGGAAACACACGTTCCAGGTCCTTCAAGGAAGAGGCAAAAAAAGTACAGAACCCAGTAAAAGAAGCCTCATCTCCCTTCAACATCATCATTAGGCACCACTGTGAACATAGCAGCTCAAAGTTAAAGGAGCACCAACTAGGTCAGCAGTGGCAGCCATTCACTGTTGCAGTGCAGAGTATATACAGTCCCAGAGGCAGAGCTAGCAGGGAACACGAGTGGGAAGATGCTGTTGCACTTGTGTCATGATGGCGGGTTTTCCATGGGCAGTGGTTGGCCACAGCGGGAACAAAAGATTGCACTAAACAGGCCTTCAGTCTGATCCAGCAAGGCTCTAATTCTGCATGAAGAGCCAAGCAAAAGCCTCATTGCCAAGCTTACCTGAATTCTGTGACTATCAAGAATTATGCACATTCAGCAATTTCACTACTCATCTTCACATTACAGCATCACAGAATAGTAGAATTGGAAGGAACAAGAAGGCCCTCGGGTCCAGCCCCCTGCTCAGTACAGGACTCCAAGTTAAACCATTGCTCTTAGATGGCTGTCCAGTTGCATCTTGAGTGTCTCTGGTGTGGGAATGCCCACAACCTCCTTAGGTAATTAGATCCATTGTCATACTGCTCCAACAGTACTGGCTTCTCGCAGCTTGAGCCTATTATTGTGTGTCCTGCACTCTGGGGTGATTGAAGAGATTCTGTTCTTCCTCTTTGTGACAGCACTCTACAAGCACTTGAAAGAATATCATAGCTCCCCTCAGTCTTCTCTTGAGACTAAACATGCCCAGTTCTTTCAATCTCTCCTCACAGGGCTTTGTTTCCAGTTTCCGGATCATCCTTGTTGCCCTCTTCTGAACCCATTCCAGCTTATCTGCATCTTTCTTCAACTGTGGTGTCCAGAACTGGACACAGTACTCCAGATGAAGCCTAACCAGTGTTGGGTAAAGGGGACCTAGTACTTCATGGGATTTGGAAGTGATACTTATATTAATGCAGCCTAAAATAGCATTTGCCCTTTTTACAGGCACATCACATAATTGACTTATATTCAGCTTGTGATCTACAACAATTCCAAGATCCTTCTCACTTGCAGCATTGTCGAGCCAAGTATTTCCCAGCTTGTGCATGTGGTTTCTTCTTAGGTGCAGAATTTGGCATTTGTCCCTATTAAATTTAATTCATGAGTAGTAGCTATCCATTTGTTTCTACCAGGAAGGGAGAAATGTTCTTCAAGATGCTGAATTCTGTCCCCAACATTCAACTATACAGTGGAACCTCGGCTCACGAACTTAATCCATACCAGGATCCTGGTTGCAACCATGATCGTGATCATCACCCAATGTGGAGTTCACGAACTGAGGCAATTTTTTTCTGAAATTTCTGTTCGCGACCCAATTTGGTCATGAACTGAGGCGTTCGTGAGCCAAGGTACCACTGTATTTGCATGGCAGGATCCATTCAGGGAGATTGTGCAGTGAGGTGAGAACAGACAGTCCATCATACCCTAAAATATGCCCACTCTCAAGAGGCAGTGTATTGGGGATATGATGGAACAGACCCCAACACACAAGAACATCAACCAAACAAGCATACAGGAGACTTTTGTCCATGGAGGCCTCATTTATATACCGATGCAGTGCTCAAGCTAGTTCCTTCCTCAGCTGGACTGAACAGACCAAAGAACTGTACTGTCCACCAAGTGCCAGAGAACTGGATTCTCCACACGTGCTGACAGTACTAGCATTGGACTCCTGAATAATGTGAAAGCAAGCAAGCTGGCTTAAACTTCTACAGTATCATTCCAGAAACCATAAAATAAAGCTGCCATACATTACTAGGAAGCAGGGAGAATATGTACTTGTGTATGTGTATGGGAGAGGGAGAGGACAAGAATGAGAATGAACCAGCTCTGCCTCAGGGATGAAAACAGTTATACTAGGGCAAGTCTGTGGCATGTATTGCAAATTGGGAACAAAAGACATGAACAAAGCAGACAAGCCACTGACACACAGTCTTCTTGCTGAGTGCACTTTGCCCAGTACCATTGACTGCTCTGCACTGTTATCTCATCCCACTGAACTAAGTATGTATATGCACCGCATGCTCCAATCTCTTTGCATGGAGCTAGCCTAATACCTTTTCACATTGGCTCAGAGAGACACTTGGAACTGCATAGTGGCCAGACTATTAGAAATAACTCTCAACTGTGGGAGCAATTGCAACTAACCATCCTCCTCCAGTGCATATCTGAAGTCTCTACTTTCTGAAGACTTTGCAGTTCCAGCTTGTGCAGGACCCTAGCTGCTTTCAGTTCCACCTCCATCACATGCTGGGCAGTGATTCTCAGGAAGATCCAGTCTGGATCTGGGTCGCAATCATCTTCTATCTGGCTTACCAGCACTGGCTGGCAGAGGTCCACTGCTAACAGAAACAGAAACACAAGTATTAGTCGATCTGGTTCATTATCCAGAATTCCAGCAACTATGAAAGACTGCGAAGTCCCACATCTTTAGAGATTATATAAATCATCATCATCATCATAAGCCAAAAGTCAAAAGCCTGCAAAGCCATAGTGGATGTAGAAAACAGATAAATAATGGAAATTGTTCACTGTAGGTGTGAAGTTTTCAGGAACGCAGACTTGTCACTCCAGTGTCTGCTTTTTTAAAATAGCAAGAGAGCATCTGCCATAATGGCAAACACATTTTGGGCTTCACAAAACAGGAAGCCAGACCCATTTCCAGGAATTAGTCCCTTTCTTTTCAATTAATACATTCCTTTTAATAAACATTCTGTGACGCTTTCATCAACACTTATGGAAGAACACAGTGGACCAGATCTTGTACAGTTAAGAGAATTAAACAGAAAACGTTCAGTTGGTGTTTAGTAAAAGAAAGGAAAACAGAGTTGAGGTTGTCAAACTGGTTTCTGAAAAGCAAGTATCTTTCAGTATTCTGATTTACTAAGAACCAAGGCAGCTTTTTCATTGGAGTAAAGTGTGGAGCAGGATTAGAGCATAATGGAAACAAAGGGTCTATTTTGCAGGAATTATCAGTAGACAGGTAAAATCAGACAAGCCATTTAGGATGTCCTTTTCTGCTAGTGACATGCAGGGAAGTTGTAAGTTTGTGAAGAACTAGCCAGCTTAGAATGGCATTAATTTTTGCACTTCTCAGGAAGACTCATTCTGTTTTAAATGGCCCTTTAAAATGCATCCAATGCCACAAATAAGTTCTGCACCACAGTAATGAGGTTTTTAAATGCAAACTTTCTTGATTTGACATTAAGCTCCCATATTTTCTCTCTGAGCAATTTGTGCGTGTTTAATTTTAGATTGTTTGATATCACTTGGGATTCTGCTACTAGGTGTCAAGGAAATAAAGGAAGTTGGGAGTAAGAACATGCCGAACTTAATAGACATACACAGCAAGGACTCTGGGCACTGACCAGGGCATACATGTTCTTTGTGAAGAAGCACAGGACTGGAATCCCCAGCCTAGGCCATGGTGTAACATCATCAGGGGTGCTTAACTGAAATTAAAAGACAGTCAGCTCTGCTCTATCTGGGACTGTAATGGGAACCATTTATTTATTTAGATTTGTCTTCCAGTGAAGACCTGACACTGATTTTTACGTGGAATCAGATGGCCATGATTTCATGAGGTGGTTCCCAGAATGTGCATAAAGGCATCATATGCACAGCATTCCATGCAGGTTCCAAGGCCAATGAGTGAGCTGTCTATACTGGAAAGTATTGCTTCTGGAAGTTCAAAGATTCCTTCAGGAGAATGACCCTAATAACAGACTCAAGGCTCAAATGGTTTACCCAGGGACAGGACACAGTCAAAGGATACAAGACATGACAGAAATAAACTAAAAGCAAGACAGAGTTAAAAATACAGCAGACAAACATACTGCACAATGGCCTTCAGGTAGAACCATCTTTGAGAAACTCTATGCAGAATCTAAATGCCCACAGCATCTCACTTACCCATAGAAATGGATCGTGGCCCAGCATGATTTACCTTCCAGTTTTTCCTCCTGATCTTTATCTTCATTAGTTGCCACCAGCTCTTCTGTTTCCACTGTTTCCTTGAGACCTTCCGGTCCAACTTCAGTCAGCAGCAGTTCTGGTTCTTTTCCTTCTGCATCTTCAAGAGTCTTCTGCTCCAGTACTGGGCTCTTGCTATGTTCAGAAGTCCCACCCGAGCTGCTTAGATATTCTACTGTGGGGCTGCCAGAGGGAGTGATAGGCCCTGCTTGTCCACTGGCTTCCAGGTGTCGCCTATACTGGAGCCAGTGTTCACCAAAACGATCCCGGAAACTATCCATGCGCTCCATCTCCGCCTGGTGTTGCCGAACTATACCTTTTGGGAGACAGACACACACATGCACACCAAATAAGAAGCACTCTTAAAGTACATCCAGATGACAGCCCTATTATAATGTGAATTCTCACCTGCTGACAGGGGTAGCGTTCTGGACTCATGTTCTGTATCACTGGGCTCTGAAATGCTGGCCCGGCGCACTTTAACTTTCCCCTGAAACAGAGACAATTTGCAAGTAAATTTCAGGGATGGCTCTCCCAGGTTCTTCAATGACAGCTTAACACCATCATAATTGCTTCACACTTCTGTAAAGAGGGACTGTCTATAAGTGTTAGAGATTCTAGTCTAATTTTAGGTTTTCAGCAGAAAACAGCATGTTTATGGGTTTTCTCTGCAACCTTCCCCCATTCCCACCACCTTAGTTCTCCTTCGATGCAGGTGTCTGGCCAATTTGCTCTCTCCAGGAGACTGGCTTTCACTTTGATCTGCAGCACAAGAACTTTCCAGGGCACTGCGGTCTATTGTGGCCCTCTCCAAGGCTGCTGCATACAGTGGCTGAACAACAGCTTGGTCCAGTTTTGCGTGATGCTGAAAGACAGAATTGGCCCTGAAATGGTAAGGTAGCCCATTTGAGAGCTTCTTCCTTTCCACCCCCCACAACTCTTCCTCTGGAGATGAGGCTAGCTAGTACTGTTTGGGCAGTTCTCTTTGCCAATACCAATCTATTTCTCAGATGGAGACATCAGACTAGACAGAGGTTTTCCTGAATGAACAATAGTACTATTGGCTTCCCATTAGTCTCAAAAGTCTACAATACACCAAAGGATGCCCAGGCTGAGAATGTTTCCAGCAGGAAGAGGTTCTGCACTCATCCCTTCTTGCCACCACAATCCCTGAAAAATAGTACTAAATACTCCACTCACCCGAAGGTCAGAGGCAGATAGTGGCTCTTCATCAAGAAGGAACTAGAATTAGAACAAAGCATAATCAGTAGGACACCAGCACCCCCTCCTCCTTGTCACTCAAGTAAACCCATCAGAAAGGCTGTTTTTTGCAGACGGATACAAAATTCTCAGCCTTATTCTGGGTATCTTCACCTAAAGAGTGGGTGAAGTTAGAGGAAAGAAACCAAGCTCTTGTTTTCGGCAAATAAATACAATCTGGTAAGACGCTCTGCTACAGACATAAAAACAGGCAACGTGAGAGCAGGGGACTGCTAAATGCTTACACACTACCATGCTGAGAAAAAGAATGTAAATTCTAGTTTGATAGTTTGATGAGCATCTTCTGTAAACACAAAATAGGAGCTGTGTCAGTCAGGTAACCCTATATTCAGGGCAGAAGGTCCATGGTCCTCAGCTACAGAAAGCACACATCCCTACTGAAAAAAACAAAACAAAAAAACAGGCCTTGGGAACTGCATACTCTAGGACACAATGAAAACATGCCCATATGTCTCAGGTGAGCAGAGGAGAACAATTCACTGGACATAACATGTCTCTAAATCTCCTTTGGCAAATGGAATTAAGTTGGCATGGGGATGTTTTTTCCTCCCAATCCTGGTCCTGGGACCAGGCAATATCCACCACAATGGGCAACAAAGTACATATTCAGAGAAAGACAGTTGCAGCCTTAGAAAACCCAAGACAGGCAGTTGGCAATTTATTTAGTGACAGAATACATGTTCTGCCCACAGAAAGTTGCAGGTTCAATACATGGCATAACCAGTTAAAAAGATGGGGTAACAGGAAGGGGAAACAACTCCATCCACTGGGGGCCCTAGACAGCTGCTAACAGTGACAGACTGCACTATCAGATCAGCTGAACAAATTGTCTAATATGACTTGAAGCCATTTCCTATGTTTTTAAATCTTTATTTTGGGCTGTTGGGGTCAAATCTATATATCCCTGGTAAAACAGGATAAGGTGGAATCTGAATGTGACAAATAAACAAATACAGACATTAAAATCCTGAACTCTAGCCATCATACACTGATTAACCAAATCTGCAGTTGTGCTTTCTTCCTTGTCTTGGCACAGGAGAGGAGGCGATAGTATGAGGAACAGCCAGATGCTTCACACAACTGCAATTATGCTGCTTTGGTACAGAAGCAAAGCAATTCCTGCATTCTTTTATTAGAATGCATAGCAAATAAGAATCTATAGAGGTTGGCAGCAGATTGACATGCCCCCAATCCATGTGACAGAACAAGAACATGTTTGAAAAAATATGAGGCATGTAATAATCTTTTGGCATGTAATAATCTACTGTAGTATAAACACAGGGTTTGCTTCCAATTTGAAAATATTTAAATTGACCGTAGCTGGACAGTATTAGCTGTTGCGATTATATTTCTTTGTGTCAGAGCTATAATAAACCACAGCACACACTGCATATACTCACATTGGAGGCAATGGCCCTAGGAGACAAATGCATTATGGCAGCAGGCCGGTGGTTCTGATGGAACCATAAGGGATTCCCCTCCAGGTTTAGCTAAGGGGGAAAAAGAATACCCATATTTCAGTAACTAAACAGCACTACAAGTGCCAAATGCTTGTCCATCTCAATCATTTTTTTCCAGCATGCCAACTATATTGTAATGTTAGGAAAATGTTTTAGTTTTGTTTCCCACCTTCCTCCAAAGAGCTCAGAGTGACAACCATAATTCACCCTCGCAACAATCCTGCAAGGCCAGGTGGGATGAAAAATGGTGACTAGCAAGCTCTGTGGCTGAACGGGAATTTGTAGACAGGTATCCCTAGGCCTAATCCAGCACTCCAGCTGCTACACTATGCTGTGCTTTCAGCATGATTCCCTCCCTCATACCTAATAGTAAATCCACTGCAGTTTGAAGGGCCCTATGCATTGTGATTATGATAGCAATAACCACATACTGGTAGTGCTCAGAAATTACTGCTAGCAAAACCCCTTTCACCAGACTCCTTAGAACAAGCTTCCCAAACCTGGTACCTTCCAGCTGTTTGGGGGCTACAGAATCCCAATGTTGATGGGCATTAAAGTCCAAAATATGGAGGGCACCCAGCTGGGGAAGGCCACCTACAATATTACACAGATCTCGTCTTACACAAGTGGCTTCCCTCAAATCCCTATCCAGATTGCCTGCTTACTCTTCTCAGGTTGTGCAGCAAAGAGAGTGGTGCTAATACAGTGTGCTCCAGGAGCAAGTTATAAGCAACATCCAAATGCTGAAGGCTGGTCAGCTGCTCCACATCTGTATGGAAGGAAGCAGAGTAAGGTCAGAAGCAAAGACTGAAAGTGTGCTCCCATCTTCAATCCAGTCTAACACGGGATCATGCCATTTTACCAGTACAGTCTTACCATGAATGCTATCAAGCTGATTGTACCGGAGGATCAGAGTCACCAGTTTAGCCTGGCTGTGTAGCCCAAGATCAGGCACCTTAGGCAGAAAGTTATAGGCCACATTTAAGTATTCCAGCTCAGTCAGCACCTGGACAGAAAAGAGGGTAAAACACTGCTCATCCATACTTCTCTCTCTGTTATTCCCACTCTTACTCTCTGTACCATACTAAACAGATACCCTTAAAAGCACCCTACTCATGTGTTACAACACATGCTAATTGTGGCTGATGCAAACAGTTGAATCCCAAAGAGGCTCATGATAGTCTAAAGATTAGAGTTCTTGGCAGAGAGCTTCTTTATCTTAAAATGTTCAGAAAATCTGCCAGCGTTGCATGTGACCTAAATTCTGTCCTTGCCCAAATAAGCACATGACAGCCACATGAAGTCTTTGGAATTAAGAGTAGCAGCAACATCACAGCAAGAGGAAGCCAGCACCCAAGGAGGACTAACAGTTCTCCCAAAAAAGGCACAGCTTCCTACCTGTAATTGCTCATTTGGCTGCATACAATTTGCATTTTTACACTGATCCTAATTTCAGTTCCTGGTAGATAAGCAGGATACAGGTTTTAAAGACAAGCATACACATTAGAGGGCAGAAGCACTTGAATTAGGAAACCTCTATTCCATCCCCTGTAAAAGAACAGCCCATTCTCTTATCCCAGTATTTCCATTTAATATCAATATGAAAGCACTGGGACAGAACATGCAAAGCTTTTGCTGAAGGTGCCCAGCCCAGTTGTATTTCAGTCTTTTTCGTCTGCAGTTCCATCCTTATAGAACCTTCTGTCCCTCAAAACTTGCCTCCTGCTACTGATATTTATGAAGTGTTGTAAAATGTAAGATGACAGTTGAACATACCATTCATTAGAAGATTGCAAATGTTAAACATTAAAATTGATTATGTCTATTATAAATGAACTATCCTTTACATAAAATAGGGGGATATGGATTTAATAAATGATATTATTTGTTAGGAGACCAACTTTGTGGGTAGTGATTGAAATTTTGTGGCAAAAATAAAGGATTAATATGGCATAACATTCACAAATCTACAAACATTCAAGCTTTTTGCACAATTATTTATTGAACGTTATAAACCCCAAACTTCAATAAACCGGAAGACAGAAAGGATGTATCATTCAATTTAAGTAAATAAAATTATATGCACTACACTGAAATTCTGTGCTGAGCATTATTAATTCACCCTATAGACATGACTACCTTCTACCTATAATTATGTGAACAAGCAATAAAGGCATTTGGAGTGTACAAAATTGCTTCCACGTAAATAAGATATTCCAGGAAATGCTTAAATATTTGTTTTTACTTTAAAAGATGAGAGGTAGATTTGAACTCAGTATCTCTGTAATGAACTACCCTAGTTTCCAGTTTGCCAACACATATCCACTTTTGGAACAAAACTCTTTGATACCAATAAACCCATGAAATTGAAACTGGGTGAGAAAGAAACAAAAGGAAGAGGGATAAGCATCTCCAGAGAAGAAAATATGGAGCAGGAAACATGGTGAATGGTACTCTAAGAGGCTATGAAATGTTTCCTAATAAACCAAATGAATGCAGTTTTTACTTTTGACAGTAGCAACCAGGGATGCAGGGCTAGGCAGAAAAATGCAGTTCTTCTCCTAGGATGTCAACTGCAGATGTCCCTACACAAGGGACACCAGTCAAATCAGAAAAGGCATCCACTGAGACCCAACTCAGCCCTTCCATGACTTCCCTGGATTGAACATAGAATGAGATGAAGAGTGTTATCCAATGAAATAAATTATTTCTCATACAAGCAATAACCTAAATAAATAATCTGAGTATGAAGAGCTGGATCAAAAGAAAGACGACAGTTTACTAACTGGCCAGAATTGACTTCGATACCAGATACTTACTGTCAGGTAATTCTCACAGTCTTGAATGAGGTTATGACTAAGATCCAGAGCCTTCAGGGCATTCAACAATTGCTTAACAGAAAAAGAAAAAATAAGTAGTTAGTAATGACAATTGGGTAAAATCCATCAACAAATAGTCCCAAGACTGAATGGTGAGTTATGGCCATGCTATCCAGAAGCTCAAGTTGTATTCTACCTTCTTAGAAAGATACAAACTAGGAGGGCTAGTAAAGTAAACCTGAATTGGGCATTGGCTTCCAACAGTCACTTCTGTCATGGTATTCCATTGAGAAAAAAAACAGTACTCACTACATACTATGTCTCCTCCACCCTCCAACATACCAGTGAATCATCTAAGGTTGCAATGGAGTTATAGCTGAAGTTGACTGTCTGTAACTCCAGCCAAGGAAGTGCAGTACTGAAGTCCCCTCCACATGCAGAAAGAATCTCCTACAGCAATAAAAGCAAATGTAATTTAAATCACCAACTTTTAAACTAGTCTTTGAAACTAAGCCTTTAATATCAGCGTAAACTGCTACCTGCCACTCATTAATACCTGTGTCCAGCCCCATACTGTGAAATGTTTCACAAGCTTATTCCTCCCTAAAAAGCAAAGGCATACAAGCAAAACAACAGACTACTTGTACTGATATTTTGCACAGGAAGTTTGGAGGTACCAGTTTTAATTAAACTACTTCCCATCTGAGATAATACACAATATAACTTGTTTCATTAATTTTGAGGATTTGGTGTGGGGTGGAAGTGAGCTGGGCAAATGATCAGTATTTGGGCTCACGATGAGTACCTGTTTTATATTATGCAATCTCTCAAGCATCTGTTTCCTTGAAGGATCTTTCCCTTGTCATAGCTGAGCATACATGCTGCATAACCATGAATTCACTATAGCCTGGAAGCTTAGTTACTCATGAAGAGGTCTGGTGATGCAAAATATATTTCCAGGTAATGGACCATTGTTTAGAGTGGAGATGTATAGGGGTTTTGGCCTTAAGAATCATTTAGTATGCTGGCTTAGGACTTGAAGACATATGCATGTGTACATACATGTATATACACCTGGACCCGATACGGATAACTCTTTTCTTGTTGCAAGCAACAGAACAATCTACACCAATCTGGGAGAGGATGGGAGAGATGGTTAGCAATTGGCCGTGGCAAATGGGGTCTAAGACACCCATGAGAAGCTGCAGTTAAAGTCTTGGATGCCCATGTGGTCCCTGAGCTACAGCTTGTACATCCTATGTGTCTACAAAAGAGAACCCACATATACATACAAATCTTACATGCTGAATCAGATATTCATACATTCTTCATTCAACACCAGGTTTCTTATTTGGTACTCACTCAAGGAATCATAAGGTATTCATATGTGGTAGTATAACCATGCAGTTTACTTACTGACACCTCTGGAGTTACGATGACTACTGTTCTGATCATGGAAAGCCCTATTATACCATTTTATTCCCCAGAATTATGGAATCCCCAAATAGTTTTTCTTGGGTGAAGGCAAGCAGAGTTACAAACAAATGTCTACTGCAGTAACAAGTAAGGGCGTGTGTATCATTCACTCAAAACAAGGAAGGGGAAAGGCAGAATGCAACTGAGTCTATAGAGCAAGCCAAATGAGCCTATGGTGACTTGGAGCACAATACCATCAAAGAGCATGTTGTGCAGTACAAAAACTGACAGGATTGAGTTTGTGTGTCAGTTCAGCAGGACTAAGTTTATGTCTTGTGCTGCATATAACATGCCTTGCATTACTTTTCCTGAAAAGTGTTTAAATCAAGAAAACAGCCAAATCAATGGTGAGAACCAATAATTTGGAGAGGACAATGATGGTTTGAGGGAGTGAGGAGCACTTAACTCTTTCCTCAAGTATCATATATTCTTATCAAAACCTGTTCCTCATGGGGCAAGAAACTGGCAGGAGGAAGTAATTTTAGTAAGGCAAAACAGCCAGCAGAGAAAAAAGCAAGTGCATCCACTTGCCTCTGTATTAAGTTCCACAGATTCTCACAGGTGCTTTGGATAAAAAACAAAAACCTTGAGCAAAATATTAATAGAACTGAACCTCATGTGGAACAATCTCTCCAAGAAATATGTCTAAAACCAACTGTTCCTTCTCTTCCAAGGCAAAAGGCAGATTATAAGGAATGCCCACTCACTTTCAGAGAGGTCACACATTTGGAACACGTCAAAGCTTCCAGCTGTGAATAGACACACCGCAGGCCCCGCAGACAATGTAAAGGAACACACTTCAGCTAAGGAAGCAAAAATAGGAACATACAGTATTCCAAGGGTTTTTCATAGCTGAGGGCACACATACTCCAGGATCCCCTAGAGATGCTACCCCATATATTCTTTCATTTAGAAGATACTTTCCCCACCACCTTGCAACAACCTGATCAGGACTTCAGAATACAATTGTGCAGATTTCTTTAGAGCTATAAAAACCAATTCTCCACATCAGAAACTTGATTTTTAGATTTATGAAGTCTCAATCTAGATCAGAGTATAGGAATTAAAATTGGTTAACTATTATGAGAAATCCTTAGTTCTGGAATTCCCACTCCAGTTTGTGTGTGCTATGGACAGTTTCTTACCCCACGGCCACCTCCTGAGATAGTCCAAGCCAGTGTCTGCCCTCTACTCTAAAGGACTCAGACACAAACCTCTGGGACTCACCTCTAAACGTCGCAAAGATTTGAAAGGGGAAATTTTCACAGTGGCTGGCAAACAGTTATCAGGAACATGAATAAGCTAAAAGTAGAACGGAGAAGAAAGGCCAATGTAAGCAAAACAGCTCGCTCTTAAAGTTGATCACCCCCAATATGCAGTCCCCATCCTGCAAAGATCCATGAAGCCCAGTCTAAAACATCAACATGCTGCATCCCTTAAGATAAGCCACCTACTTGGTAAAGTGGGGAGTGAAGCAATGAATTGGTACCAGAAGCATTACTCATACATACTGTGACTCCCAGAAGAAATAGCTAATGGAGTTCCAGAACTGAATGACCCAATCTGATGACATGGTGCATGCCAAGTAATAGAACCCGAGAGTATCCAAAAGTAATTTTCATTACGACATGTCTTTTCACATGGAGATGATACTTTCTATGGAGACTATGAGCCAGTAATTATGGTAATTTGCATTGGAAAATTTCTGATGCCCAAGGAAGTTATGAAATGTAGCATGCTTATTTTACTTGCATTTAGTAAGCCACTTTTACATGTTAAATTTTTGCCCTGAAATATTTGAGGAACAACATTAAAACACATATTTAAGTATTATAGTTAAATATTTAAACAAACTTAAATATATTATCTAGGACTTTTATTGGAGTACTTGTAAAAATGTGAAGACAACAGTGTGTATTTTCCTTATAATATTTAAATGTAAGAGAAAATAAGTGTTGAAAACGTACTGTTGATACACTAATACATTTTAGCACTCCAAAGAATTATGATAGCCACTCATTTATTTCAGCAAAGTTCAATGTTCTTCCACTAAGGGTGTTAGGACACCTTCAGTTTCACTGTCATTAGCTCCATTTTACACAGAAACATTTATTTCAATGGCATGTATGCAATTCTCTCACATATGTCTTAGGTATAATCATTTGAAAAGATGTTAATTTACAACTATGAAACCTCCAAGCTTGCCTGTCTAATACTATATTTGCAATTGGCATCAATTTGCTGGTATGCATGGAATCATGTAATGGAAAATTTTCTATGCAAAAATGAAGCACTGGAAACTTTTCCACTCTGCAACACTGGACTTAAGTATAAGTCTTCCCCATAAGTCACAGAACAGCTTATGGAGGGCTCTTCTGGAGCTGCTTCCTAACAAAAAGAATGACTTGTCCAAGTTGGTCCCAGGTGATCTCTCTTCTTCCTTCCACTGTTATTCGGGGTGACCACAAGGGCAAAATGGAGAGAAGGAGGTATCATTAACATCTCTTGGGACCATAAAACTGCAGCATCAAGTATTCTTCCAAGACTACCCCAGCATTGCCCCTTCCATTGTGGAAACATTAAAATTAAACCAATTGAAATTGCAATCTACTTCTACATTAACTGTGAAATGCAAGAAACCAGCAGTCTGGAGTTTTTTGCCCAGTTGATTAGTCAAAGCTCATGTTAATACCAGAACAGAGCAAGGTGACCTATTGCATTAGCAGATCAGATCATAGTGGCATGCGTAAAGATAGATCCTCACCAGCTACAGACAGCAGCCCCAAGGCAGAAACTAGAAGGGCAAATACCATTCTGAAGTCAGAATATGACAGAGCAGACTATGTGAGGAACAAAGTGAAACAGAAATGCTTTTTCAAATACAAAGCAATTTTAGACTATAAGCTTCTCAGGACAAAGTGCCTTATGTTGCGTATGCTGATTGAGCTATACAAAAGGAATGTTATGTTATCCAACAGAAGATCATTCTCTGGCTCCAAATATCTGAAAGATTATTGCTGACTGGAAAGGGGGAAAGAAGCAATATAACAAAAGCTCTTACCATCACATCAGGTGGTACATGGTGGTAAACTGATTTAAGGGCTTCCGATGCTAATCCCAAGCTCTCACCCCTGATGTGAACTCTATGCTTGACAGATACCATCATTCTCCCTTCTGTTTTGGGAGGACAGCCAATCAAGCCAATAAGCATATTTGAATACACTCTAATCACCCCTAGCACAATTTATCTAGCTAGATAGGCTTTCTGGCTGACATTACCTAGGCAGAAATCTGGGGCAGTGTTCAATATGTAGGCTTCATGTCTCCTCACAGAGCATCTGTTGAGGATAAGACTACACTTAAATCTCAAATTTAATGCAAATATCTTTCTCAAGTGAAGGGTTCATGCAAGCACCAGAGAGGCCCAAGGCATGGATAATTAAATGACAAACACATTCCAGACTATATCTATGTATTATCCCTGCTGTGGCTAAATGTCTCATGACTGGTGGAGAAAACATACTGAATGGAAACAACATGAACAGTGCTTCTGACAATAAAATGCAATACACAAAACTCACTGAGAAGGCAAAAACCTAAACCTACTGGAGCAGGTTACTGGGTTGCATAAATCTTATTTCATACAGCAAGATTCTGTCTAATCAAACAAACCTGCTTCTATCACTGACAAACATACTTGGCTGTCACATCCCTTTCCCTTGTTTCCTATCTCAGATGTCACTAGTGAACATTTATCCTAGTGGATGGCACTAGTGACACTAGATGGCACTAGTGAACACCTATCCATTCTTTGCTAATTGATAATCCAACTGGCAATTATGCAAAGCAACCCCCCACCCCCAAAGACCCACCCTAGCACTACAACTCCCAGGTACATGTTTATGGATAAAAGCTAATACCAGCTTAACTTTGGCTGTTCTGCTTTGGACTTACAGCCTCTGTCCATCCCTTGGCCCTTCTGAATGCCATACATTCCCACTAGAGAACAAAGTTTACAGCTTGGTTGGTCCCTGCCTGATACCATTCTAGATTTCCCCCTGCTGAAACAGCTTTCTGGCAATTTCGGAATAGCACTGTCAAGTTCCATACAAACCCACATTGGATACTTTATTCTCTTGTCCTCTGGCCTAACAACAACCCCAAACTAGGAGATATTAGTTGCTGCTTGCATGGAAACATTTAAGATGTTACACCTACCCCAAAAGCTGAATCTTTCTGCCTTTGTAATAATAAACAAACCCCTTAAACACAAATCAGCAGTTTCAACAAAGATAACATTTAGAAATAAGGAGAGTTTTAACCAGTTCCAGGAGTTAATAGATAATTGTTTCAGATAGTTTCCTAAAGAATTTCTGTCCATTTCTGCTCAAAATAGAGATGGCAGGAGGGTTGGGGGTTAGAGAACATACTAGACCCTAGTGTGAGAATAAATCCTCAGAAAGTATATGCGAAATGTTTAATTTACAGAATTGATGTAAACAGAACTGAAATTTGTAGTGATGGATTATAGAACCCAAGCTCAAGCCTTTCATGTTTTTGCTTTAACTTCAGATACCAGCTAAATTGTTCTTCATCTCTACCACATTTATCTACAGCTATTTTAAGACCAAATTACTGAGCATTCATGAACAGCAATTCCAGCACATCCCAAGCCTCCCAGTCTGTTTTTTGTCTATTTGAACAGACGGCATGAATATACATTTACAGCCAAGAGGAAGCTAGTTCTTTTGCCAATCTTCCACCACCCCCTCACCCTTCTGCCAGTCAGTCCTGGCTGAATCTGCTCTTGCCCACACCCTAGTCTCCAGACAGAATAGAGAACACTCAGACATTTTGTGATTTAATCAGAAACATCAGTTATCTTCCATATTTTTTAAAATTTATCAGAGGAAATCCAATATTTTTCATATGAATGCTGCAAAGTTCATTAAGTAGAAAATTGCACACAATCCTGGATTTTCACATTCATGAAAATTGTATTGTACATTCATATTGTACCAATTTGCAGGGCATCCTGAATCTAAACAGTAAAGAAATGCTAGTTAAGTGAAACCTCAATTATTATTTCACATCAATTGACAAAATGCTTCTAACTCAGGGTATTCCCCAGGCTTTTGCACTGAACTTCGACTCAGCAGTCATGCAAAACATGAACCCTCATTGATTTCCGAGGAGTACTGTAGAGAGGACACAGATAAGTAGGTGAACATGTATTTTGCATGCATTATGCTGTGGATTCAATCTAAAGCTACTTAAAAGTACCTCAGGCAGCAAGACTTCCTGGGGATCTTGTACAGCTAGTGCCAGTCAGTATTAAATTAAATGAACTTGTAACCTGACTCAGTTTAATGGCAACTTCATATGTTAATAGTGCATTTTTTCTAATCCTTACAAAAACTGAAGCCAACTGTGAAGTGCTTTTTAGTATATAGTTTTGCATACCTTTATATTAGATTTTCCTCCTCTATTCTTTTTATTGAGACTTTTCAATCAGTGATAGTTCTCAATATCTGAACCTGTACGGGGATTACCATGATATGTGTGCATATATTTTAAGAACTGTTCATAATGCCAAAGTACACTGACCTTTCTAAAAGCAAAGATTGATAAAAAGGAAGTTGAAAGGGAAAGTTAAGAATCAAATTTTGAAGTTATTGAAAACCACAACAGAAGCTCAGCTAGAATGCATACCACAGGTCAGGACAGGAACCACAATATTCAAGGAATCAAGAGGGACCAGAAGGGCTGAACATTCACTACCAATTATAGTCCACTTGCACTGGCTGCCTGTTTGTTTCCAAGACTAATTCAAAATGCTATTTTTTATTTGTAAGGCTTTATATATGGCTCAGGACTACAGTAAGTGATGGAACACCTCTCTTGGTATGAAACCACCTGTATATAACTTTCATCGTTTAAGGCCCCCCCCCCCCCACCTTGAAGAAGTCTTGGCAGGCAGTAACAAGGAAGAGGGTCTTCTTGGTGGTTGCTCCCTAATTTTGACATGATCTCCCCAGTGAGGCCCACCTGGCACCAACACTTATCTTTTCAGTGTCAGGTTTATTTTATTCTTCATTTAAAAATTCTGTATCCTGCCTTTACAGTGTCTCAGGGCGGTGAAAAAATAAATAGGACACAGCTTCACAATATTCAATGGTAAAGACCATCTTCGTTCAGGAATTTAACAACATAGGATTAGGATTTAATCAGGTCTTGAATTTTCTTGTGGTTGATTTTTAAAATTGTTTTTAGATATGTGTATATTGTATGCCTATATGCTTGTATACAAATAGTTTTTAAGGTTTTAATCTTTGCAGATAACCCAAGGAGCTTCTGCTATTGGGCTTGCATGGGAGGTGGTTGAAGCCCCATCAGTGAGAGTGTTCAAGGATAGGCTGGACATGCGCATGGTAGGTATGTCACAAGTGGAGCCAGCTGGAGCCAGGGGTCAGACTAGATGGCCCAAGAGGCCCTTCTGGCTCGCTCTGTTTCTATGTTTCTCATATAAAAGGGTACTGTATTAAAATGAAATTGAAATGTCAAAGATATCTAACAAGCTGTTAAAATCAACCTCTGTAACAGAGAACTGGAAAGTGGCCAATTTAACACCATTTTTAAAGGTATCCAGCACATTATAGGCTGGTTAGTTTAATGCCTGTTCCAGGTAAACTGGTGAAAAGTATAATTAAATTTAAAGTATTAAGCACAAGGTAGGACAACTCTTCCTAAAGAAGCATCAACAGTTTCTACAGAGGCAAGTCCTGCTTACTAACTTTTTAGAATTCTTCCTGGGCACCAACAAAGAGGTGGATAGGGGTGATACTATTTACTTGGAATTTCAACAGGCCTTTGATAAAGTTCTTTACCAAAAGCTCCTGAGCAAACATAAAAATCACAGATTCTTATCCTCTTAAGGATAAGAAACTGATTGAAAACCAGGAAACAGAGACTAAGTAGAAACAGAGATTTCTTATGGTGGAGAAATGTAAGCAGTGCCCCCACTGCCCCACTTAGAATCTGTCCTGGGAATGGATGGTGTTTTAATCATACATGGTATAGAGTCATGGATAAGAAGCAATTTGGCAAATTCCTGATGCCAACATATTACTTAAATAATTGTAGTTTAAAACAAGAAGTGAGAGCAAAGAGCTCCAGAAGGCTCTCTCCAAAGTGGAGAGGATAAATTCATTGAGGATAAGAAGATCAATTAGAATGTATTATTCACAGTATCAAAAGCAGTATCCCTTTGTCTCCCACTGAGTATCTATTACAAGCATGGGTTTCTCAAGGGTATCTTATTGTCCACTGTGTGAACAGAATTCTGGAGTAGATAGGACTTTGGTCTGATTCATCATGGCTTTTCTTATGATGTGATTACAACCCAGCATCTCAGCCATCATCAATATACAAACAATGTATGAAACAGAGTTATAACCAGGAAAACCCTAAGATCGCCACTACAAGGCATAAACTTATTTCCAAAGGACACCACAGACCAACTGCTCGTTATTTCTCACTTCGCTACACACCTTCAATGAGAGAGTTTTTTGCAAGACGTCAAAGAGGAATTGGGCTTGAAGAATGGCAGAAGTTTCAGCAGGGTGAGATGAGAGTGCAATGAAGCCATGGTTCTGATTTCGTGGTAAAAGGTTCTGTTCAAAAATCTGGGTGAGAATCTCTAGTGTGGAAGTGAACAAGGTCAAGGTGCTAGTACCATCCAGAATCAAGTCTCCTAAAGAAAAAGAACATAAGCATTAATAGATCCATAAACACTCACTGCTCATGCAAATCCTGTAAATACAGGCTGAACAGTAGTGTAAACCTGGCAGCCTAAAGTCATAATTTTCCCAACCCTGAAGGTCAGGTTGAAATGAAACTTACTGGAATCCATCCATCTAGCATTCATGGTCTTGCAAAGAGAACTGAGAAGAAGTTAATGAACCCTTGAGGAATGAAGGTTGAGCAATAGGCAACCATCTTCCATGTCAAGTGCAGGCTGCTGCAACAGACACAGAAGAGGAATGCTGCTTGCGCAGTGCATGAGGCTCAATTCCTGGCTCAGGGCTGCAGCAAAACTCAAACTCAGGGCCTCAACAAAGTGGACCAGAGTCTAGGAAGCCAAGCACATAGAATCCATTGGATTCCCAGCTCCAAGACAGATTCCTCCACATCCCTACTTATTTATTTATGCACATATTTATATGCCTCCTATAACTGCCAAAAGGCCTTCCTAGGTGGCTTACAACCACATATTTGTTGTATGTTGATTTGCCGATTTGTTTATCTGGATTTTTATGTTGATATTTTGTCATAATTTATTTATACTGATATTTGTATTTTATTTATGTAAGCCGTCCTGAGACTTTGCAGTAGGACAGCATATAAATATCACAATAAATAAAAACCATATTATATCAGTATGTTAAAACCTATTAAAACAATTAAAAGATTAAAACATCAATATAACAATAATATAAAAAGCCAGAAGCATTCACAGGGCTAAGAATTATTATTATTTTTTAAAAAGGTATGTCTTTCCATGATGCTGAAAAGAAAATAAAGATGGCACCAGGCAAATTTCCCTAGGGATGGAGTTCCAAAGATGGGGAGCAGCAGTAGAAAAGGCCCTTTGTCTATGTGTCACCCCTTTCACTTCCCCTGACCTTAGTGGGCAGGTAGGTATATAAGGGTGTAGACAGTCCTTCAGATAGTCAGGTCCCAAGCTGTTCAGGACTTTATAAGTCAATACAAGCACCCTGAACTGGGCCTGGGTCACTACTGGTAACCAATGTAGTTCTTCCAGAACTGGTGTTATACGGGCCATTCTAGGAATGCCTGTCATCAACCGAGCAGCCCAAATTTGTATCAGTTGCAATTGCTGAACAGTCTTCAAGGGCAGCCCCACACAGAGCACATTACAACAATCTATTTTGGAAGTTACCAGAGCATGGGTAATTATCTTCAGGTCCCCCCTGTCTAGGTAAAGGCAGAGCTGGAAAATCCGCTGTACTGGAAAAAGGCACTCCTGGACACCAAATCCACCTGATACTAAGGGACAGACTAGGGTCCAGGAGCATCGCTGAACATTACTTAAAGGCAAAGGAGTATAAACTAAAGTAAGTTCTCCTGAGGTTACCCAGGAGTTCCTTGGTCCTATGGTCTTCACATACTTACGTTGAGGACATCCTCTACTTTCCTACCCACCCCCAGGATTAAATCCAATAGAGTGATGTACAGGGTTTTCATTAATGATATAGAGGGCTTCCAAGATTATCCTCTCTAAATTAACCTGAAAACCCTGAAATACACATTCACCACACACAAGAAAAAGCATCAACATAAAGTTGCTTCCTGGAGATGAAATAAGTATCTTTCTTCTCTCGGACATGGCACCTAGGAAGAGTTGCTCTATATAATCAAGCAAGTACAAGAATATAAGCATTGTTACTTTGACAAACTTTTCAGCAAACAGTAGCTAAAATTCTCCCACTCCCAAGTTTGTTCTGTGTAGAAAGTTATTTATCAAAATGCATTGACAGTTATGGAACTCCACCATTCAACCTGATACATGTTCCAGGAAGCTTGTACCTTCAAGCTCCCCATACATAGTGATAAAATACTTGCAGACAAGTAAAACGCAATGTGGTTTTGCTGAATAATACCAGCAATACAAATGTGCTGGATTACTTCTTCCCACTTAAAAAGCACCATGATGTCTGCTGCAGTTCATCCTACATAGTTTCAGAGTTCAACCATTAGCACTGACTATGACCCACAACCCAAGTGATGGTCATATTTGTTGCCAGTTAGAGCAGAATTAAGAGTGTCTTTCACACCCTAGTATGCTTTAAAATCTCACCAGAATTCCGTAATAATTGTGCTAAGCTCTGAAGCATTATTTCCTTTGTAGTAGCTGGAGCCATCTGCAAAGATAAGAAATCAAAAAGGGAAAATAATAAGCACTCAGGAACCAGTTCCAAGACATATTGAAGGATCTCAAAACAAGCTACCTGGGAAGAGCATAGCTCACTCACCAATTCGAAACTCAAACATTAAAACAGAGACCAGTCAACCACAATTCCTGTTGGATGTTGTATGCCAACCTACCAGAGCCAAAACCTTAGAGCCACTATCTCGAGCTAGACTGATGCAGACTCCAAGGCCAAACCGGACGCTTCTCAAATCAACTGCTATCTTGCTTGCACACAGTCGCGTGACAGTGACAAGAACTGTACAACGCCTCTCATTTAAGGAAGGGGCAGTCCCACCTGGAGCTTCGGAGGATCTGGGATCCTTCTAGGAAGCTTTCAGACCATCCTTCCTTCCACCAACCAGGAAAGAAGGTTCACCTATCCCCAGCAAATCACCAAAACCCAGAGATTACCACAAGACCCCTTTTGGGGCAGGAAGAAGCAAACTGAAGCAGGAAAGGGAAAACAGGAAACACATGATACAAGGAGTGCCAGCCGGAAAAAAGGAAAGAAGTAACCATGGCAACGCTTGCGCAGTCTTTCAGCCCAAACATTCCCCCGCGCACGCACCCTACTTACCTGGAAGGCCCCTTGAGCAGTGCTCGAACCACACAGACAAGACAAGCGCCCAAATCTTTAATTCACTTCCGCATTACCATAGAGCGGCTTAAAAACAGGAAAGAGCGTCTCCGGTGGATTCAAGGGATCGCGTGCCACCCACAGCCTAGCGTTCGGCCTTCGTAGCTCTATCTCGCTTCTCTTTCCTGCTGCACAGCTGCACAGTCGCGTTCATCAAGCTGTACAATTGTGGTGCCCTTTGCCTCAATTTTCCTTAACCTGATTAAGTCTAAATGTTTGGCACTAAGATTCCCGCATTCCTGAATACCGGTCATGCTGGCTGGGACCGATAGGATGCATAATTTAAAACGACTGGTGGGCACCAGGTTGGGGAAGGCCAGTCTAAAATCAGCCTCAGTGTGCATTGCAAAACTGTCCCCAGCCAATCTCACCACTACAAAAAACTGACTCGTTGCCCGATCCAAACACATACATTCCTGGCCAACATTCTCTTACTCGCCCCTCCATTGTTATGTGCTGCCAAGTTGATTCCCACTTGGGACTGCATGAATGAAAGCCTCCCAAAATGTCGTGTCCGCAACAGCCTCACTCAGCTCTCCTAAATTCAAGGTTGTGGCTTGAAACAATCCAAAATGAAACACACCCGGTACCACAACATTTTATGTAGAAATCGCCATGCAGCACTCAAATATTGAACATGCAACTTCAAATCTTCATAAAACTAGTTCTGGAATGCTTTCTCCCTGGGTAAAGGAGGCCCAGAAGGCAGGGTTGCCCCTAACTAAGGTAAATTTATTTTGAGTTGCTTTCATTGGGGAATATGTGAAACAGTGAGAACATACTTCTGAGTATGTGCAGACAGCCCTTCACTCACCATCTCAGTTAGGTATGAGATGTTCTCTAGAGTCTCTGAAGTCTAATTTATCTTGTAGGAATGTTGTCAGATTGCAACTAGATAATGATGAAATGTTTTCTAAAGTCTCTCTAGCAGACTTCAGCCCTGCCTCCTTCTCAGATTTTAGAGATTCATCTCTCTAAACTTTTCTCCATATATACAGAATGATGCAGCATAGCACTAGCAGTCTCTTTTAGTTCCATTGGGTAGCTTCTGCTTCACAGGGCACAAAAGCCTAGAAATGCAGGATATTATCTTTTCAAGATGGGGCATTGCTAAATGCAAGGTTTCTGAAATTAAGGTGTCTAGCCAGAACCCCACCTTTTTGCAGTAACTTTGTAGTTTTCTGGGCACTGTAACAAATTAGCTGTGGTAATGGTAGGATGTACGTGTGTGTGTGTGTGTGTGTGTGTGTGAAAAATGAGTGCCCACATCACTGTCGTGGGATGCCATGTGTGGACAATCACAGAATACCCATTTCACAGAAAAGCAAACTGGTGAACCCTCTCTTCTTCCCACACCCAATTACTTTTCTCACTTGCCTGCCACCTTTTTTCTTTTTCCCCATGTAAGTTGTTCCCCACTTTCCCAAGCAGCTTCCTCCCACGTTTTTCCCCTTTCTGTTTGACTGTCTGGCTGTAAACCTGCAGACGCCAGCCTGCAGCTGGGTTGCCTTCTCCTTTTGTTGAAGGGCGCTCTAGGCTTACATGAGCCCAAAAGTATCCTGAGCAAGCCAAAAGAGAAGCATGAGGTAACTGGAGGACAGAGTTCAGCTGATTTCAATTTTAATAATTTTTTTTGAAAAAGTTAATCTAGGGGGCAGAAGGGAATGTCTGAGAGTCTTGTGGTCTCCATGGGCAATATATTGCCCATCCCAGAATATGTCAGCTTTGCCCTCATCCAAATTTCATTCTTCACATCAAAGCCCTGCTTTATGGATGAGCTCTTAAAGAATGCCCACAGTTGTTCCTGTCCTTCACATTAACACACTTTTGAGAAAATAGCTGAAGGTCAAATGATCCAGTCTAATTTGGGAGAAGGCAGAACTGCTGTTTGTGCCTTGTAAAGCCCAAGGATTCCTTCTGATGGTGGTCTGTTTGGCTCACAAGATTAGCTGCCAGCACACTGTACAGAGATTTTAAACAATTAAACATATAAAATGATAAAACACAAATCTGAAGACTTCTAAATCTGCAACAGATGATCATCATCATCATCATCATCATCCTCTCTGCCCATGTAGTATTTCTTTAGAAATCATACTAAGATAATTAACAGAGGTCCTTCTCTGGGAGTCACCCCCAAAAGAAGTAAGGTGGTGGTGGCTAGGAGAAGGGTCCTTTCAGTGGTTGCTCCCTGTCTCTGGGAGATGCTCCTCAAGGACGTGCACCCGGTGCCATTCCTGTTTTCTTTATGGTGCCAGGTGAAATTATTTTCCAGACATTTTAAATTAAATAAGATTTTTTTCTGCTATACCATGTATACATTGTATCAATTCTATAATTGTTGAGAGCTGTCATGTTTGTTTTTGTTTGTTTTAATTTTATTGTTATATCTTACTGTTTTGTCCTGAACAATTGTACATTGCCCAGAGAGCCTTTTGGCCTATAGGGCAGTATAAAAATGCAATTAAATAAACAAACAAACAAATATTGGAGTAGCCACTCATACTTCCACCTAGGCTTCAGTGTCAGGTAAGCAACTACTTTAAAATTACATGTGTATGTGTAAATTGAAGTTAAAATGTTGGTTTGTTTGTACCACATGACTGAATGTTTGGTTGACAGTGAATATATTTATTTATGGATATCCCCTCTGTCAAAGCATCTGAGATGATATACACTCAAACCATTGCAAAATTTGCACAGGGAGTAACACTTAACCTTTGAACATTTTCAAAAGCCCCAGGGATATTATCTAGCTGTAATTTGACAACTTTCTTGTAAAATAAGTCAGTATTATTATTTCCCCATATTACAGATAGGGGGCTTGAGTCTGAGAGACAGAGGTTTACCTCAAACCAGCTAGTGAATTCTTAGCAGAAGCTATTCTCACGCCAGGGACTTCCTGATTCATAGCTCAGTCTCTTCACTACAACCTAAAACTAGTTTCTCAAGGTGTGTGCAACACATTGGAATACAGTGCGCCGGCTAGTATGCAGAACTGTGAGGTTTTGTGCAAGCAAGAAGCATAGATAAATGTTTGCCTGCACCAGTATGTTGCCTAGCCATGAGGTGCAGGAAGGGTTAGTGCTAGTGCCATGTTAACTGGGTGTGGAGGTGCCAGAGATGCTATACGGAGGGCGGCTACTTGCATCCTTCCCTCTCGCCAGCCTAACTCTCCAGAATAGCCACTTGCTCAGCTGCTGCCTGCTCTGGCAAAAAGCAGTGGGTGACTCATAGCCTCGCAGCTCGCCACACAGAATTTTAAATAAGGGAGCAAGAGCAGCCAATGTGCAGCTCGTCTCTAAGCAGAGCCAGTAGCAGCGGATGGCTGCCTGCAGGAGGAGCAGGAAGCTGCTGCACTGAAGAGAAGGAGGAGGAGGAGACGTCTGACACAGCTGCACTACCTGAACCACTAGCAGGGAAATGGACACATGTTGAGTGATCTCCAGCAGCAGGAGGGAGGGAAAGAAGCGGCCAGTTGCAGCAGCAAGCATCCTGTGGACCCCTGGCTGGAGGCAAGCAGCTCTCCTTCACAGCAGCTGCGAGGTACAGTATAGCTTTTCTCTCCACCCCTTTTCCTACCTCCATCCCATCCTGGTCCAGCATCTTCATGTCCCTGACACTGCCAGGTGAAAGGCAGAGATATGCCCTGGGGAGCAGCACTGTGTGACTGTCACAGCAGTGCCCCTATAGATGGGCTTCCCCTTTCTTTTCTTGTGTATGGCACAGGAGTTTGGAGCTTTCTGTCACTAGAGTGTCAGATCCTTTCTGTGAGAAAGGGCATCCAAGTTTTTGCTAGAGCAGTAGAGGAGACTGCAGGATATATATTTTTTGTGTGAACAGAACAAATTAATAATAATTCAGAACAGGCTGTGTGTTCCCACACTTCAACCACATATATTCCAGTATATTTAACATGCCCAAATATGCCTGTATTGCCCTGCTCTTGATATCTTCAACCTCCCAAGCATGGTAAGTATTAGTGCAAGGTCCTATGCAAGGATTCAACATCCCCATGGTGCTCTTAATGGGGTTATCTGAGCTAAGACTCAGCCTAGACCATTTTTAGTGTCAGGGCTCAGTTCTGGAAAATGTGAAGTAATCCAGAAAAGAGTGCCTCGTAATGTGTTTAGAGTCTGTTTCCCCCTAACCAAACTCCATGCACTTCAGATCGGTATTTTCAGGTCAGAAGGTGAGGCTGTCAGGTGGGTGTGAGCTCCAGTTCTGCTCACAGAAATTAGTGCCATGCCAGTAATGATGGTTGTGGCACAGTAAACTTGGCACTGAAGCTTGTGGTTTTTCATGTGCTTTGGTACATGTTGTGTTCCCAGTTTTGTTCCATCAGTACATTATCTCAGTGGTGCTACATGACTACAGTTCCCCATTGTGCCTTTGGTTGCCTACCTTCTCAGTTGAAGGCCTGAACTTTGGGCATGTACTGTGTGATATTCTGAGCCCTTATCTTCCTTTTTGTTGCACAGGACACAGTTTTTAGTTCTCAGTCCTGGCCTCCCTTTGACGCCAACAGCCTATCATTTGGGAGTGATGTGTGCCTCTAATCAAATCTGTCCTCTTCTTCCTCCTCCTGCTTTTCCTTGTTTATTGCAATAGGTCCACTAAACCACAGTTATTAGCCATATCCTCACTACACTCAGCAGTGAATTAATACAATATAAAAAGACAGTGCAGGGTTCCAGAGCAGCCATGGTCTAAATGTAAAATGGGAAAGGCAAGTAGAGAAAGCAGTTCAAGTGATCAGAAAGATGGAATTTCCTACTATGAGATGAAGATTCGTTTTTGGAAAGGTTATAAAAAGCCATGTGAATGTTTATTTCTTAGGTCAGCAGGCCATCTGGACTATTAACTGCAACCATTAAAGGAAGTGACCACAACATATGACTGTAATAAATTAATCTTTTTTTCAATCACTCACAGCAAGAGTTACTAACTCTTTAATGGCTGCATGAGGGTTAGGGTTAGAGTAATTTAATTTCTAAAAAGATGGGTACTACGACTCAAGTCTATATGAAAAGCTCTATGTCTCAGGTATGTATTTCTACATGGAAAGTAACACTCTTTGACCAAAAGTTCCCCCCACCCCACCAAGTGATGGGTCATACTTAGATATAGCAATATGAATGTTTGGAAGCAATGCAGGTAGGACTTACTTGAAATGAAGTTTTCAATATTGACAGAATAATACCTTGTAGATATTCAGAGGCATTTTGAATTGTAGCACTGAAAACAAGTTTCAGGGCTCAAGCCCCTGGTGAATTAAGTCCAATACACATATAGGAAGGCCCATAATTCAGAGATAAAGCATACCAATGAGGAGTCATTACAAATTTGCAACAAGTGCTCCTGCTTATGGCTCACGTCTATTTAAAAAGGAAATCATATTCATGCTTGGTGCTTATGGGGATGCAGGAATGTTTTGGGAAGGAAAGAAAGCCACAGTTTTTTCTGTTCTTCCTCTCTGCTAAAACTTTTCTCCTAAATACTTTGTGGTATTAACAGTCTTAGGTTTAGGACTGGCTGGAAGCTCAGAACTTGAGGACTTTATTTTGCTGAAGAGGGAAGGCATATTAGAATATCAGAGGAAAAATTGGCATTGTTCCCTTTTCTCCTCCTGAAGCTTCGGCATATATGTGCGAAGGAGAGCTGTTTTAGCCTCATGCCATGTATCTCCACCTCCAGGATACAGCAAACTATTATGGAATCAAGCAAGCACATTTCTTCCCACACATTTCCCTTTTTCTTTTTCCAGAAGATACCATGAACATTTCATAGGTCTGGAAAGCCTCTGCATATAGGCCATTATTTTATCTGTCCCTTCTTCTAATTTACAAGGAAATGTACTTCTGCATACAAGAGCTGTCTCCCCAATATGTGCAGAAGCCATTGGTTTGTTTTTGAGTGGCTCTGCTTCACTTCAAAACTGATAGATTTCAGAAAGAAGGAGAAGAATCCAAGGCCCAGTGCCTCAGCTCATCTGAATTTCAGGGAGCAGAACTGGGAAAGATGTGTACCTCAGATTCTGGATTGCAGCTGCCAGTCAGAGTTGACAGGACTGGATTAGGCAGACCAATGCTGACTCAGCATAGCATCTTTTCATACATTCATATATCATAAGCTTCCCATTGATTGTAAAATGCCTGACTTGCTGTAGCTCTGTTAGGATTATGGTGTTAACCTGAATTTCACAAGGGCAGATGAGGATCTCAAGAATCTGACTAGCCTGCTTGAGTGTTACAGGACAAATCTTAAAATGTGCTTTCTCAACTTGAGATGAGCCATTCCAGCAGCATAGTGTCAGTAAATAGTATAAGATGCAGGTGTTTCAGGCAGATATACCTATGGCTGATGTGTATGTGATGGGGCTAGGAGTATGAAAGGAGGCTAGGAGTAGTTTTTTGAATGTGACTATCCAGAATAATCTAATGGGTTTAATCCATAATTTTAGTTAATTAATTAATTCAACCTATTTCTAAACTTTCATTCAATGGATGCTAGGGCAATGCATTTTAGGCATATACATTATTTAAACAAAATACAAATAAAATAAAATATTACCCTTCATAGGAATGACAGACTACAATGCAGCAAAAGCTGTACAAACTACAAGGGGACTTAGGTAGCCAGGGCTGCAAATGTTGTAATGCTGGTGCTTGCAGTACCTCTTTAGGAAGGCATTCTAGAGTTAGGGTGCCATCACCAAAAAGGCCAGTAGGCAATTCCAGCAGTCCATTAGATGCTTGTGCTGGAGTGGCTTCATTTATGAAACCTCTTTTGTGATTGTTGAGGAGGAAATTGTTTTTCAAGAGCAGCCAAAGCCCTCAACAAATTGATTAAATTGGGAGCTGTATAGGCAAATTAAAGCTAGGAATAAAGTGTGCATTTTGTTGTTATCAACCAATACAGTTGTCTTTTAGGAAAACAGAAGATGTATTATAATAGGGTGAAGGTAGACTTCTTGACAATGCCTAATTTTGCTCAAGGGGCAATGTTTTGACAGATAGGGATGATTAGATACAAAAGCAGCACCTGCTCAAGCTAAGCTGGTACAAGAGACTTTCTTCTCTCAAAAGTCTTATTATTCCCTTCACTTGGGTTGGCTTTCATAACATTCTTAGCTTAGCTGATTGCCAAGTCTTCTGTAGGCCTGCTATGTTTGTAGCAGTTGCTATTGAGCACTGAAGCAATGATTTCAGAGGAGCTGTTTGCAAAGCTCTTTGAGGTACTCAAAACTCTTTTCTGATGTGTGTCTGCAATCTAAAACCCAGAACACTATGTGCATAATTAGCTATTTATTGAATGTTAGTCAATGTCACTTTGCATTTTAATCCACAGTCAGCACAATCAGTTTCACTTGCTTTTTTGCTTCCCACAATCTCGCTGCTGTGGGGGACTTTTGTAATGCTATATTTGCTCCCTCTCCCAGAGAAAGCAATCTGCTACCGTTGATTTGCATCCTCTAATCTATGGACAATGATGCAAGTGAAAAACTGACCTGAAACTGAGATAAAGCATACACATACCCTTAACCAGGTGGGAAGCAAAACACTCTCATGAATTCTATTTAAATCCAGCAACAAGGAAGCAATGCTATCTGCTTTGTCCAACTATTTTGAAGAGAAGCCAGAAAATCCCAAGAGGGCTATAAAGAGACAAGCTGGTGCTCAGTGAGACCCAGTGGCTTCAGAGGGATTACGCAAAGGGAGGGATTACTCAGCTATCCTCCTCTGATTAACTATAAATGGCTGCCTTTTTAACCCTTGCATTATTTTGCCTTCCCTTTGCCATTTGCTATTTGCAAACATATGTTGTGTCATCTCATTTTACTTTGATCCCAAAAGTCTTAGTCTCTCCAGTCACCTAACAAAGAGGCTTCTCCTTAGCATCACAGCCTTATCCAGTGGGCACTCCGCCCACATTTCTCTATGAGATTTGTGACTGTGATGGCACATGACTTGCCAGTGGAGGACATTATTAGACCACCATTACTATTATGCTACACGCCATTCCTTTTACATCCTGACACTTAGCTGCATGCAATCTGAGCCAAGCAAGTTGTTGAGCTGTCCATAGCAATATCCAGGTCACTTTTCTGAGTGCTTATAATTAATTTAGAACTCCGTGTCTTGTATAAGGGTGTCATATGATTCTGAGCAGTGGCTTTTGCTTTCCATTAGCTCTTAATCATTACTACTGTAGCTACAAACCCCTGCCATCTCCCTGGTGCACTTGCCAATGTCTTCTATTCTTTCTTCACAGGTTATGCCATGCCTCAGACTTACTGGGTGCCTGCTAATGAAAGAGAAGGGTTGATAATAACCCAAATTTTGCATGACGGCCCATAGATCATAAACCAAGATGGCAGCTGGAAATACTGCTCCTTTAGGAGGCATCTTCACTACTGTGCAGCAGGTGATTATTATTTATATTATATTATATTATATTTTCAGACACAAGGACAATAGAAAATGGGAAGCTGGGACTGAGTAGAAATTACTGAAGCCACAAGCCTTTTGACTGGAAGTCCTACTCAGACTTTTCTGAGCTCAGATATTGGCTGCATTTACATGATTATGGAAAAGAAGTCATTATGGCTTTTTTCCTCCATCCCTGTGCATACTAGATGTGCTGCATGATATGCCTAACTACCCTCACAGTGCACAGATTGACATGTGGGGGGGTGTCTTTAAAAGCACCCCAGAACCCACAGCTTGTTGAACAGCTATACTGGACAGCATTTCTTCCCAAAAAAAAAAAAAAAAAAATCAAGCAAGCAAGCAAACCTCTTTAGAGTGCAGGGGCCCTCCTCAGCAATGTGGGATGTGCTGCGCTATGAGCTAGTGGGGAAGGGCGAAGATCACTCAAAATTGGACTTCTGCCCACTTTGGGGTGATTCCTCCAATCCCTAGCAGCCTTCCTTCATCTTATCCTATATAGTGCTGGAGGCCAAATGGCCTTCAGGAGAGGTTTCGTGGAGAGCACAGAGGGCTGCAGAGCAGAGAATGATACAGGAAACAGGTCTACCATGAGCTTCCTTTACTTGTCTCAGGATCCAAGCCCCTCTACTTTCAATACAAATCATGGGATGTATTTCCTATTGATTCTCCAGAGACCAGAAGGCCACTGCTTTTCTGGCTACAGATGGCTATAGGTAGGTCTGTGTTTAATACACTTTCATATTATATTATGCTATATTAATTTATATGCCATCCAATAGCCGAGGCTCACACATTATTTTATATTAGCACCAGTATATAGGGTACTTTACAAAGGATGAAAGAACAAGTTCTTAGTAATACAACAGGGATCTGTTGCCAGTGTAACTTAACTTAAAGCCTAACGCAGGCAGCTCAGCAAATACCAGCTTCTTGATAGGAATTTTGAAATCCTGCATGTAAGAATCTGGCAATTGAGTCACATAGTCTGCAACTATTGTTGCAAAGCTGTCCCAGCTGAACAGGTATTGGCATTTGCTTTACTATCTATGAATCAAAAAATAGCTGCTGTACATTTTTGACGCATGAACCAAACCACTATGTTCTTGAAAAACTGACTCATGATTTTGTGATACTATAGGAAAGCATATCTGTAAGAAAAGGCTAATCTTTCTTTGATTCCTATTCTCCAAATGGGAAATAAAGCAAAAGAATAGCTTTATTTATGACATTTGCAGCTTCTGACATCATGCCTACCTGTTTGGTTTCCCATAAGGAAGAAATCTGCTGTGGCGTCAGCAGCTGTGTACCTTAGACCAAATTAACCTTTCTCCAACAGGTTTGCTCAGAAACTGGAGTCAATATAGCCTTAATTTCTAAATGATAGGCACAGGCATTCAACTCTGCCTGCAAGCCACATTGTCTGACAATGCAAACCCTGTCCAATAATCTCAGATGTGTAAGCGCAGGCTGTAATTACTCAGTGGTGAGCGACATGCTCTTCCCAATCTTATAGCACTCTTTACATGTTGCAGAGATCAGTCCTTTGACTGAAAACAAATTCCAGGGTTGAGCCAAGTCTCTAAGTAAGACCTGATGTGAGCATCCCTACCTTCCCAGGAGCAATGGTAGGGGTGTAGAAACTCACCCGTACAGGTAATCGCACAGAGAGCCCAGCTGCTCCTAGCTGTTTGTTTAAAGGTGGGTGTTGGGGGACTGTTTCGCTGAGGCCTGTTTCACTTCTTATTCTGGTTCAGCAAAGACCTGTCACCACTGGGCCTACTGTGTTTCCATGGTAACTGAAGAGTCCACAATAGCTTGGCACCAGCGTTTCAGGCTAAACTGACAGGATTTTTTGTTTTTAAACCAGTGACTGCAGCTGGAGATTTGAAAGGACCAAACTCACAGACATGCTTGCAGATACAGGGCTGAAACTTGATACATGGGAAAGGCACAGGATATAACTAATATGACCCTGAAAAAGAGGGGCTCTATCACACAGCTCGAAACTAAAGATGCTGTGATAGAAATCCTAGAGTAAAAGACTCTGTGGTAGCGCACGGGATGACAATTGCTGTTCAGGGTCAGATCCTGTGGTAAAGATTCAGAATATAATAAGACAGGATAGGAGAAAAAGGGTAGGAGACTTGCAAAGGGGAGCAGGCAACCAGCAGGATGCATCATATATCATATGCCTGCCTGCACAGCATGAGCTAGCATGTCAAGTCACCTTTGCTAAGCTGGGAAGGTTCAGCCTGTAGCCAGATGGGTTACCACATGCAAAGCAGAACATGAGGCTGAACTCAGTGGCTTTATAGGCCCCTTTCAACTCTACTATTTATTCAAAATGTGATATGGGGTAGCCTACATTGCCTGGGATCTGTGGCCAGTATTTCCTGTTCTACCTGTTTCCTGAGCTAAAACACCAAATTCTTTTTTGAATTTGGGCCCTGTCCTCAAAACATTAAAGATCTTTCGACTTTCTTCTTTCTGGAATTGAGAGGACGATGGGAAGGAACTTGACAGTTTAAATATAAAATTGCAAGACACTCTTTCTAGGTGGAGTGAGAATACTGAAGAAGGGTTTTAAGTTGATAGATCACTACATTTCACTACAGTCCCACTATGGGAATGAAGGCAGACCAGGTAAGACAGGCAAATTAGGGATCCAAGCTTAAAACCCATTTCTGGATGGGCAACCCTGTCATCCAGTTTTAGTTCTGTTGTTTTGAGGGATCTGGTGAGAAAGCGATTGTCCTACAGCTTCGGTAGCTGTTGTGAAGTGTGAGAAAGGGTGTTATGGAGGAGAAGGATGAAGAAGGAAAGTATCTTTTACAGTTTTCTATACAAAGAGACCAGGTACTCTTTCATGCAGTGTCTCTCTTTTCTATACAAAGAGAGGCACTGTTTGATTATCTCTTGGTTGGTGTGCAGGATGGTGAGGATGCTGAGATGGCCTTTCATGGCACAGAAGATGAGGAGGATTTGGACAAGACCTTGGCTATCGAACGGTTTGGAGACCTGATCAGCAAATCTGTGCTAAGAGACCAGGAGAAGCAAGGCCGCAGCTACTGTGAGAGCGACTTTGAATGTATGTATGTCTTATCAGCTGGCCTAGCCTACAATCAGAGGACAGATTAAGCACAGCCTTCAGGTAGAAACTATTTTAATGATATGAAAAGCTTCTATTCAGTAGCCTATTGAATTTCCTGCAGAGCATATTAACCCTTATGTTACCATAGTGTGCTTTTGAGCCTTTCCTCCCATGTTGTGCATACAATCAAATTTGGACAGAAATACATAGTGTAAAATCAATATCAATATTTGAATTAAAAAACAACCCTGATATTCTAGGTTTGTGTTGAGACTTTGGAGCTTTGGTGAAGGAGTTTTGTGCATGCATGTGTATCCATACTGAAATTTCAGTGTCGTGACTCAGATTTTGTTACTGAAATTTAATTTCCAGGAAGGATGACATTTCAAATATTGTGATAATTTAAAATTAGGTAAGATATTGTATTGGTCTATTTAGGCCGATTTCTACATTACTTTCTCTTATACCTCCCAGAGAAATGGATGCTGACAAGAAAGCAGGCAGTCTCCATGGTCATATGTGTCTGTCATTCAGTATTTCTAAATGCCTCCCATTTAACAATCTTCCATTTCTCCCTTGCCTCCACTCCTGTCCCCACTAAGAAAAACAGAGACAGTGACGGGGATGCAGACAGGCACATTTGTGATCATAGAGTATAGTAGCTACAGCATCTTTAATTGAAGAAAACTAGAAAGGCACAGAGATTAATAGTAGAAAGGTCATCTGTTAAATGTGGAAGCTTGAAAACTGATCATAACATGTGGCATTATTAGGTGGGGCATATCCTGGAGAAGGGGGTGTCACTTGAGGAGGCATCCATGTTTTGGTTTCTGAGGCCTGGACCTGGATCATGTTCTCAAGCCTTACATAAGTGGGATGTGCCTCAATCTTATGAAAACAGGAGTAAACTAAGTTCACACAACAGCTGCAAAAGTCACAGCAATCTCTGTTGCTATATTATATCTATCTTCACCATAACCCCAATGCCACTTTGAAAATAATTTGGAACAGGAACAATCACCAGTAGGATTGGATTCTAGCATGTCAGTGATGTAGGGACAATTTTCAGCTTCAACATGGTAGTCTTTAATACCACAAGCAGATGGAGTACATGCAGAACTCTGTGTTTATTGCGGCATAACATGCCCCTGCAAACATCTAGAAAGTCTCACTGACAGTGATATTCTAATTTGATGCATACAGAATTTGTCACTGTGTGCCAAATTAGTGTTTGAAATTTAACACACTACATTTAACACAAATTTAACACCAACCATTGGTTTTGAAAATAAGCTCTTATGGAGGGTGAGGTGCCTGTGCAAAACAAACTCCCATTTTGGTATGCATATGTGATGCTCTTGCTTAAGTCATGTTCACTATATCTGTTAAGCAGTGTTTCTTTGTGACACAGCTGATAATACAGTGTTATGTTTCTATATACATATATTGTTGAACTATTTGTGCCTTCCTCATTTCCTTCCGACTAAGCTTTTCTTCCCCCACAACTAGCAACCACATTCTGCTTCCTTCATATGTTTTCTATATAACTTCCATTCAGGGCAGCATACAAATGTAATTAATAAATAAAATCTCTCCTATTGAAATCACTGATATACAAACATGTATCTGACAGCATTATGTGCCATATTATTTACCTCAAGATGGTTAATTGTTTCTGTTTCACGTGTTCCTTTTGTGGCAGAAGGTTGCTTAAAATTGTTTTTATTACTTTCAGATCTTGATGAAGCTATGATGTGGCTAGAGCAAGATTAACTTATTCCTTGCTCCTTTAAAAAAACTTTAATAGCTAGATTCTACCTATGCTCAGGGTTTGATTGAGCACCATATTAGAAGCTAAGAATCAATCCTTTTCACTCCAAGTTGGGCTTGGAGTAGAAAAGAGAGAATTTCTGAATGTTGTCCACTCAGTTGTAGCCTGTGGCATAATTTATTTGTAGGAATTTGGTACAGATATAGGAATATCTCTTTTATCCACAGTGGTGGAAGCAACATGGTTCTCCTGTTTAAAATGTTTTTGTGAGTTTGTATATGGAGAATTCACTGTTCTGATTCCATCTCATTTACTAGTCCTAGCATCTATTCAGAAAAAATTTGAGGATCATACATACTATGGCACCTCTCTTGTCATTATAATGTATTTAGATAGTAGTAGTTCAGGAATTACAAACATGCTGGATTTTTCACATGTTACATTGTCACTTTTAGATGGGCAATATCAGTTAGCCATATATCTCCAAATGGGGATATATATATATATATATAGCCATATATCCCCTATGGAGATATATGCTATTTATTGAACAATTTTAGTATCTACGGGTATTTTATACTGAGAAAGCTACAAGTAGGCATTTTTGCACAGTAATCTTTGCAGTGTTTTTCCATTCCCTTGAATATCAAGATTATGAAGCGCCTAGTTGTCTAGACTGTGAACCTAAGTGGCAAATAATGTTTTGCACACAAATGCATGTAAATAAAGATATTTTTAATGAAAAATGACCTTATTAAGATGTGGATTTGATAGAAGAGGAATGGTGGAAAAATTACCTTTTCCTTTCATGGTAGAAAAACAGTTTGGGAAGGGCTGTTTTAAATGGAAAATTATCCAGGGTAGAAAGGATATGCTGTTTTCCCACCACTATTCCTGTCAAAACTGCAGCTCCCCAAGGCTGTTTTACATTAATAACACATTCATTATGACTTTGCTACATGCATTTGTATGTGATCTGTAATTTTAGCATCCTGAACAAAATTATTTTGTCTTTGACTTTGCCTTTTATTGGTTCAAGGTTTTACTTTAAATTGTTGTGCATTATCTTGGTGACTTTTTAGCAGATAAGGTAGTATATAAATGTTAATAGTATATTTTAAACAAAATATGTTTACTTTCCTCACTTCTCTAAGAACTCTTCTAAGCCTAGCAGCCATTCCCCATATAGCATGCTTTGTACTGCTGTGAGATTCTCATATTCAGATGTGTTCAAGTTCGTGCCTGCTCTCTGTAGTAATAAGATATTATTCTGAGTAAGTAATAATAATAAGATATTATTCTGAGCCTCAATAGGCTGCTGCTGCTCCTCAATAAAATATCACATTTAACTGTACACACCCTGAAGTTTTTTTCTGTTTTTGTTTTTGCCTGATACCTCCTTTGCATCTTTCTATAGCAATAACAACAAAGAGTCTTGTGGCACCAAAATTAACAAATTTATTATGGTATAAGTGTTTATGGACACAAATGGCTTCATAATTAAGTCATAATAAATGTGCTATTCTATTGCCGCTCCTTGTAGTTGCTCCAGCTACCCGTCTGCAAGCCTTTATATAGCCAGCATTCATCTGTTGCTTTAACAGAAGTGTAGGCTGACACCTACAGTCATGTAGTGGTAAGACTGACCTTGATTCTCCTGTTTTTATAATTCTTGCTCCAGACTTCTGTAATTTAAGTGAAGCAGCTTCATTTGTAAAATGCAAAATGTGTCTGGAGGGTGCTTAATAGCTGAGATAGAGTTATGCAGTTTACCAAGCTTCGTTTGGAGGAAAATAATGAATCCAAACAGGCTGGAACAGCTTCCTAGTATGACTGATTTAATTTTCAAATCACTTTGCCTAATAATGATTAGGGATTGTTGGTCTATTTGTGAAGTTCACTGATTAGTGAAGACATAAATTAACTGGAAGTCCCCACTCCCACAAACTTTTTACTGAGGAGAAGTAAATCACTTTTCTCAGAGAAATATTATATGCACCTGTTCGAATGTGGAAACTTAACGTATTTGAGGATTGCTAAATTCATTCCAGAAAGTGTAAAAGCTGAAGAAGTGAATGGTGTAATCTTTTTCCTACTGGACTGAGAAAGAGATGCCTGTGCATTCTGGGGGAGGGGCTTCTTCTGGAGTGTTGCTGTGGGAAACCTGGCAGGGACAGGAATAGCTCCATTTCTTTCTAAAATGGGAATGTGAGCATTCCCTGTCTTGTACCACTGTCCCTGTTTGCCATGCCCTGCAAGCTGTATTCCTGCCCTCTCTTCATGATGCAAGTTCTTCCCATTTCTCTTCCGCAGTTCATCGCCAGACGTCCCACCATATCCATCACCCCCTCTCCACTCACCTGCCTCCACCCCACAAGTCCCAGAAGAAGCTTCCCCACTCTGACAGGAAGAAGAAGAAAAAGAGAAAGCTAAGGAAGACCTCTATGCCTCCCTCGAATGTTACTCCAACCATCCAGGAGGAAGAGGAAGAAGAGGAGGAGGAAGCAGAATCTGAAGGGGAAGAGGCTCTGGAGAAGGAAACCTCAGCAGAGTCTGACCTTGAGGACTCTCCAAAAGGGGAATCTCATGGCAAACTACAAGTAGAGCTGACAGAAGAAAGCATTGAGGTGAGGGAGTTTCCACCTGCACTGCAAGGAGGGCCATGTGCTTGGAGGTACATGCATAAAAATTGGGCATGGTGAGAAAAAGATTGAACAATTTCCACATGTCAGGAGGCAGTACAGACTGTTCATGTGTGCGACCTGTTGGTCACAGAGCAGTGGAAAAGTCAGGGTGCTATATATTCCTACATAAGTATGAAGTAGTTGGATAGTATAAAACAGATAGAAAAAAAATGGATGGATGCTTTCCAAGCATCCTACATTATTTATTTTATTTATTTTGATTTATATCCTGCCTTTTTTCCCTCAAAGGACTCAAGGTAGCTTGCATCATTCTCCTCCTCCATCTTATCCCCACAACAACAACCCTGTGAGGTAGGTTGGGCTGAGAGTCTCTGACTGGCCCAAAGTCACCCAGTTGGCTCCATGGCCGAGTGGGGACTAGAACCCAGATCATCTGAGTCCCAGTCCCATGCTCTTAACCACTGCGCCACACTGGCTCTCACAGTGTGATTCTTATTGATCCTTGTTTTGTCAGCCTTAATCAGGGTAGTAGGAATGGCATTCCTTAAATTTCTTCAATGCTGTTCTAGTTTGACTGTTTCCATTGCTTCTTTACAGTTCACCATTGGGAGTGAGGAGGAGGAAGAGGAGGAGGAAGAGGAAGCCCATGGTAATCCATGCACTTTGTCATTTCATGTGGCAGAGGAATACAGTCAGTTGTCCCCACTCCCATGTCTCTCCAATCTGCTACCAGAGAAGGGACCTACCACTCCCAAGAGGTAAGATGTGTTGTTCTTTTTCATGGTTTGGGCTTCAGACAGGATGCAGATGCTGTAGACAGAGAATGCATGGTACCTGTTTATACTTTATTCAAGCATCAAAGAGCATTGTGGGGACACAAGTACATGTGAGGATGAGATTTGAGTCACATTTGAGTCACATCTCACCTGAGCTTAGTTTTAGAAGCTATTTTCAATGCCTGAGCTAACTTCTGGGATGTATGAGTAATTAAGAGGACTTGGTGTAATGTGGCATAGCATATATACTGTTGGACTTGAACTGCAGAGACATAGGGCAAATCCCCACTAGCCTTGACTTCGAGCCAGTGATGATCTCAGCTCAATTTATTTCACAAGTTTATTATGAGGATAAAATCAAATAACTCTTGTGTGCATACCCCAAAATCTGCATAACCCAAAACAAGATGCAAATAATAAGAAAATAGAATTCTATACACCTGGGGTTTAGAGATTTCCAGGACAGAAGAGTTGTTTTTTAAGCAAGCTTAAGCAATGAGACCTATGGTCTTTAGAAACTGAACACTGACTTCACAACTACCAGTCTCCAACCAGCAAGATGTTTTATCAGATGGAGGAGGGGGTGGTTTCAGGATCTATCTTTTGGAAATCCCCTGTTTGTGTCTTGCTTCAGCATTGATCGAGTTAGAAAGAAATCTGTAGCCATTCTTATTCCCTTTCCTTAGAAAAGGAATTCCATGTGTCTCTACTAGAAATAAATTCTCTTCTTGCTACTCCTTGCATGTCTCCACAGCTTCTCTGGGTACAGAGATAATATATCTCGGGGATGGGACAAGCGCAAACCTTGGAGTCAGGTACCAAGTGGGCAGCGGTCAAACTACGACTTGAAGGAGAGAGTGTGTATTGGTAGCATGACTGCTGTGGAGAGTGCCACATACCAGCGAATCCCCACAGATGAGGCTGAGGCTCAGATGCTGGCTTCTGCTGATCTTGATGATATGAAAAGTAAGATTCACACTGGAATCTACCATTGGTGATGGTGATGGTGATGTGATGGTGACAGTGACATGACAACAGCACTGTCTGTCTGCCAGGATTCTCTCTCAGCACAGAACCTGAGTGTGTATTAAAGGACTAAAAAAGTATATAAACATTTCTATTCAGCGTCAAAACAATAGTCCTTTGTACTAAAAGTAGACAGCTCAATGGCTCAGCAGTTTTTACAAAAACCTTATTGTAATACAATAATACCTTATTAATCTCCAGTGTATTGGATAGTTAGAGGAATATTGCCTATGAAAGAGATTGTGCTTTTGGCTATCAATGCACCACCTTTTATAATAATGGCCATTATAATGCCCTCTGGCAATGACTCACACAAGTTAATTCTGCACTGTGTGAAGAACTGGTTCTTTTTGTTTGTCTTAAGCCTACTGCTTACCTGGGTTGTTCAATAATCTTGAAGTTTTGTTTTTAGGGGAATTTATGGTCCAATCTTACTCATGCTTGTTCAGAATCATGTTGCTCTAAATTCTGTGGGGCTTAACTCCTAAGCATATTTGCATTGGGCTGTAGAAAGAGAAGACTCATTCCCTATTTTCTCTGAACAGACCAGGCCAGTCATGATTCTGTAAACCTCTATTTGCATCTTCTTTAATTATTTTTTTTATTAAGACAAAAATGCTGGGAACAATAGATGGCAAAAGAAGAAGGGGACGGCAGAGAATGAGGTGGCTAGATGGAGTCACTGAAGCAGTCCGTGTGAGCTTAGGTGAACTCCGAGTGATGGTGGAAGATAGGAGAGCCTGGAGGAATGTTGTCCATGGGGTCACGATGGGTTGGACAGGACTTTGTGACTAGCATAGCATAGCATAGCATATTAAGATAAAAATACTGGTATGCTGGAGCTGAAGTGGTCCCTTTGCTCTCTGAAATTAGCACTACAAGTCCTACTTGCAGCTATTCTAGTATTAGAATATTCACTCCAGCCACAATCTGCATTTCCTTTTGAGCTTTCATAAGTCCTGCCTCCAGGTCCAGGTAATGATCAGGATCCAACCAGTATCAGGTAAAATCCTTCATTGGCTCCAGTGGGTAGCTTTCTCTGGAGCAAATAGCAGCTTCTGAGGAGGGATTTAGCAGGGGAGAAAAAAATTATTTCCTTTCTTGGCCTACTAGGAGCCCAATAATTATCAGTTTCCTTTAGCCAATGTAATTTATGTTTTTATCTGGTTTGGCTCTTACAGATGACACATTATGTTAGATTCCTAACATTCCTACCCCAAAGTCATGATTTTTTAGATCCTCTCCCCTCCTTCAAACCTCTGAGGTTATTCCCTTTCCAATATTAATCCTGATTTTGCATTACAGGTACATGTGCACTGACTTGCAAATCCACTTCCCTTTCAAGTTCTGATCTCTGTACAATATGTTTTCCATATCGGGGAGATGGGTGAAGCTGCAATAGTAAATAATTCAGTAATATCTGCTGCATCTTTTTCTTTGAACCATGGCACATAATTCCTGTGTTACTTCTTTAGCAGTGCTGTAAGGAGGCACTGCGTTAGGGAGCAGGTAATGTATGTTCAGTAAGCTCATGGGATCTTGACATTCATTTTTCAATTTATTTCACATCTGTCCCCCACATTCCTCCCCCTGCCCCAGCTTTCATAATATGGTATTGAACTGGGAGTCCTCTAAAGTGAGGGGATTCTCAGGTTCTCCTTACATTGCTGGAGAGGAAATCCTCAAATAAGTACCTTGTATTCTGGCTGTGGCCAGTAACCCTCAGTTCAGACATGGTCTTCTATTGCCTGGCGCTCAGTTTTCCTTTACTCCCTTTATTGCTTCTGGGACCATCTGTCCCTAATGGACCAGATGGGACTCTGCCTGAGAGTATCAGGCAGGCCCTCTATCTTCCATCACATCTTCTATCACTCTATAACTTGTCCTTGCCCTACTGACTTTCTTGGCTGAGAGTTTTATCTCCAACCTTTGTTCTCTGAGAGAAATAGGCATTTTATCTTCTGGGAGTCAGCCACATTAGATCCAGGTTTCTACTTGGAGGCTCTATAGTGACTAAAATTGTTGAAAAGTTACAAGGTATTCAGGACTCAGTTTATATATGTGCACATGTATGGGCTGTGCTCTGCCTCCACCTGCCTGTGTGGTGTGCTGGTTCCTTCTGTGTAAGAGTGCAGAAGAAACGTCATGGAAATGCCAGCTTTGAGCCCCAGGACATAGAGAAGGCAATAGGCTGCTTTCCAGGCTTCAGTGGGTGGAGACAGCAAAGGCATATGAAGGGACACAGTAGACTGTGCTACAAGCCAAAGAAGCTTTTCCAGCAGCACATGTATTGGATCTCCTACAGAAAAATCCCTTTTGACCTGTGACAATGTGCAAAGATAGATAGTTACTTCCTCAGGCTCCAAGCAAGTGGATGTAGTCTCTGTGCTAGTCTCTTCTTTGGGTGAGGCATGCTAGCATTTTCTCTCAGATCCTATCAAGAATTTGTGATATTGGACCTATCAACTTCTCCGATTTTGTGCTACCTGAAGAGCTTCAAATAGAAAGGGACCCATCCACTCTCCTAAGCCCTACTCCTTGTCAATGTTGTAATAGTCACAAGTGCCACTGGTCCTCTCACCTTCTTAAGGACAATTGTGATGGCTGTTCTAGACAGAGAGGAGACAATGAAGGAGATGGGCATAGGAGACAGCTCAGAAGTAGGGATAGCTATCTGTGTCCATAATTCATTTGGATATGATGACTTTGAAGAGTTTGCTCTCAACTTTGAAGATTATGATCTATGGGAGGCTATCCAGAACCACCTGGGCTATACGAACTTGGAGCCAACCTGTAAGTACAAGTACCTGCTGGTGTATAGGGGTGTGTGTGTGTGTGTGTGTGTGTGTGTGTGTGTACAGAGAGAGAGATTCTCTCACATACTATCAACTTGGTTCACATAGAAACATTTCCACTGAATGACTAGATTTAAAGTTGCATAAGGTTCTTTTAACCTTCTGTAATGGTGCCAAAGATCTTACATGTGTGTTTCAATTTGCACTTTTCAAAATTCTTCCTTCTATAAATCTATTTAAAGTATGGAAATTTGCAACTGGTTATACTAACTCTCCATGCACATGCACACACAACTGATCTTTTATTTACTTAAATGTATAACTTGCTTTGTCCCATAAACATACTGTGAGGCATTTGTATTATTCTGGCACAGTCTGTAAACATCTATTGGGGAAGTAATACTGAAGACATTCAACTAATGCCTCTACTTTCTAATTCACACACAAACATGCACATTCACACACAACTGATTTTCTAATGTCTTCATTTGGTAATTGGCTGTAATCTGTGTTGTTCAAAAATGTAGCTTTCAGTTACAGTTTACAGATACACGTTATGTATATGCATACAAGCATGTACACACACAGTATACTGGAAATTCATCCATATATACTTAAGGCATACTGTGACACCAGTAACTCTGACTCTTATATGTAATCCAGGAGTTGCTGTTTCTACTGTCGGCAGGGCTGCATGAGGCACTTAGAAGACTTGAATAAGCTGAATCATCTCAGGCTGAAATGGAAGGGGGGCGGGCTGGCAGTGCTTATTTGCCCAAAGGGACACTCCTTTGAAGTCCTCAGTCTTCCATTTTGACCTACATCATGAATATATAGTGACAGAAGTACATCAGGAACCTTATCTATGTTACCTGTTGGATTCCTGGCTGATCTTGAGTACATTCAGTTCTACACCTCAGAGCTTCTATTAGTTCCACTGAGGGAAGAATATAGGCACCATTCAGGTACATGCATTTTTCTTCCAAATAGAGACTACTAGTATTTGGGATCAGGGAACACTCTCAGGCACTAAACTCAGGTCTCTTTCTGCAGACTAGAGATGGCACTATTCTTTCTCTCCTCCAGGAGATTTAGACTTGAGTAAATCTTACTCTTTAGATTAAGTCTAAATCTTACTCTTACAAAAGAGTAAGATTTGGGAAGGGCTTACAGAAGTATATGAATAGCACATACCAGTTGGGTCCAACTAGTCTTGTTTTAGATGCTCATAATGCACAGTCTAACACTTGCATGCATTATGTATCACCTACTTTATACATGCACATGAGTCAGACATGTGCATCACACAGATTACTGCACTCAGATGGTTATTGTTTCTGTCTACAATTTGACTGAACAACTTGCCTGTAGAAAAGATGGGCATCACATACAAATGCACACAGAGCACCCTAGAACAGCAGCATGAATGCATTAGTATTGATGAGCAGTTATTGGTTTTTGTCACTCATGTACAGCAGAAAATGGGAGAGAGGAGATCCAGCTGCCAGCAGGCCTCAAATCAGGGACACAGTCAGTGGGGGAAAAAACCCTCTAGCTCAATATAGATTTAATTTATATATAATTTAGTGACCCAGTTTTCTAAAGATCAAGGCTCTAATGTAGCAGCTTTGGATCTGAAAGTTTCTTCCAGGGGATAAGGTTATGGAATACCCAACCATGGTAGCTGGGTATATATTACTGCAGTCCATATTTTCAAGATGTATTGAACATAGATGAAGAATAAATGGAAGGCGTGACTTAACTGGACTGTTCTGAGAACACCTAGATACAATTTTCAGAGGCACTGTCTATTTCACATTGTATGCTATCTTCCAGTAATTCCACTGATGGCTGGAAAAAAATAAAAACAAAAACAGAGCTCTTAAGGAACTACCCTTGACTTGAATTATCAGTTTAAGCAACTCTTCTCAGCTGTTACCTGAGGACATAGTATCACTGCTTCCCTCATAGGTCAGAGAAGGTCTCAACTTTCCACTTTGGCCATACAGCATTTGAGCCTATTGCATGGCCATCTCTTTAATACTAGATGACTTGTTTCTAGAATTGGTAAAAGATAACACTGCATTCTTTTGGAGGGTAGGAAAAAAACAGAAAATTAAGTCTTGCTAGTTTATGCCTTTGATGATTTGGTTCCTTAAGTGGAGGAAGGAACTACAAAGCAAAACAGAATAAAGGTTATCCTGTAAGTTCTGCCCTTCTTTCAGCCTTGATATATCTAAAAGTGTTTAGTTATGTGGATTTTCTTATCACCCATTGGGTCATTCATGTATGTATGCATGCATGTATGTATATGTGACAATATGGAAACTGCACAGCCATTTATTGTTTCTCCAAAGATCTGGAATACCTAGCTCTGCAGCCCATATTGATCTGAGGGGCTTCATTATAGTAAATGGTGACATGACAATCAAATATTTGTTTTGTGGAGAGCCGCTGTGGTATAACGCAGTGATGAGACTGACGAGGACCAAGAATACCCAGATCCATGTCCCTAGGAAGCCACAAAGCTAGGTATCACTAGGTATCATTGGGTCAGCCACTGACCAAGTTTGCATGGGCATTGGTATACCTAACAAGCCACACAGGTTTGTTTCCTGTGGCAGTAACCCACCCTCACTGAGTTTGGGCAATACAGTAAACCACACAAATCAGGTTGGTATATGATTGGCGTGCACAGCATGCTCAGCAAGCCTTCATGGCTTGTTAACCACCTGACAATTTTGCAAACTGCTGCACTATTAGTTGCACATATTTCAGTGGGATGCTGTGAGGGTAATATAGGTGGGAGAAATCCACTCATGTTGCCTGAGCTCCTTGGAGGAAGGCCAGGATACAAATATAAAAAATAAAATAAGGAAGGTGGTATATGTGTCCTCATGATGCAGTGAGCTCTAACTTTTGAATTCTTAGCAGGTTTAGAAGCCCCATTCCAGGTACTTACTTTATCAGAGGTACATTTCTTAAAAACAAAGAAGAGGACCTTCTCAGAAGTGGCGCCCTTATTGTGGAATGCTCCCCCAAGAGTAATGTAGCTGGATCCTATGTTACAATGTTTTTGGCAAAATCATTTTTACTTACCCAGTTTCAGTTCTTGAGAATTTGAGCTTTTAAATATTTTATCTATGTTTTATTGTTATTCATTGTATTATGAAACAATTGGTTGTGCAATGCCCTTGATCCTAATAGGATGAAGTACAGTATATATTGTAAAAATACATTTAAAAAGAGCTTGGAAAGTCCCTTTTCTCACTTTCTCAGGAGCCTCAAATATGCATTTGATTATCATGTAACAGGTACTTGTTTCTGGAGCATTCAAAAACCAAACCAAAACAAAAGCAGTAGCTCCACCATGGTTAATAGAGCATATTGCAGTACTTATATATACCTCTCTTGAGATAGGGGTCTTTTCCCTATGCACCCGCATCTATTCAAGAAGAGTGCTGGTGGATGATTGTGTGGGAATTTGCTACCTCTCTTGCAAATCGTTCCATAAACAATGTAGTTGAAGACAAGGGCAGAGTGAGAGTAATATCTCAGGCAAAGAAAGCATGATTTACATGCTGAAGGCCCTAGGTTCATCATCTCTAGGCCCTATCTAGTTAAAAGGAATTCAGATAGAAAACTGTACCTGAGAATTTGAAGATCTGCTGCCATTTGGTGTTAACAGCACTGGCTAGATGAACCAACAGTCTACTTGCCAAGTTTTGCAAACCTGTCATTGCATTCTAAGGACTAAGAATGTGAGGACTTTAAATGAACTTGCTGAATTCTGCAGCTATTGCCAACGGACTGTGCTTCCATGGTGCAATTGGGGCATATGTACAGCCGCAGCTACAGAAAGGCACATGAACTCTCTTGACAATGCATTTCATTCATCATTCCTCTTGCTCTTGTTTTTGCCCTGTCTTCATACTAGGCCATCGTTTTGAAGATAATCCAGGAGTCAGGAGACATCTAGTTAAGAAACCCTCTCGGAGCCAGACTACAAGATCCAGCAAAAAGTCTTTGTCCTCACAATCTGTCAAGAAAAAAAAGAAAAAGAAGAAGCTTGACAGGAAACCCCATGAGGTACCATAATGGCCCAGCTCTGCTGAGATCCCACAATGTAAAGGGCAAGGTTGGCAGCTTCAAGCACGTGCTGTTCATATTGCATGTTAATGAATAGCTTCCCTTAGACGTAGTGGCAATAGTTATTCCGAGACTGCATGACCCAAAAGTGAGCATACAGAGTTAAAGATGCTAAGACATAGGCAAGTGATAACAGCCTGGTATGTGTTTTTTGGGACTCCCCTGGTACATAGAGACTGTTTTCCTGGTGGAAATGTATATCCTTGGAAGGATATCATGTCTTACAGACTTTCTGGGCTGGTATGGATCCCATCCTCCTTTTCTTACATTTTCCATGTACTCCCAATAAATTACACCCACAGGAAAAGAGCAGACAAGCATTTCCTCTGGAATTGCCGCACAGTAGCCATTAAGCATCTTGTCACTGAAAGAATTTCTTGCACTAGTAGGGCAAAACTAAAGGGTACTGCCTCTTCCCCATGGGAACCCTATCACAGTAAAGGAAATTTACTGTGATAGTAATAGGAAATTTACTGTGACAGTAAAGGAAATCACATGCCATTCTTAGGAATGAATTTGCACAGAGGACATGGCAGAATGTTGGGTGATGTGCTTGGAGTTCAGTTGCCTTGTTCGCCCCATTTCCTCCTGTGGTAGGTATTTGTGGAGCTGAATGAACTAGTAGTGGATAAGAACCAAGACATGCACTGGAAGGAGACAGCACGCTGGATCAAGTTTGAAGAGGATGTTGAAGAGGACACAGCACGGTGGGGGAAACCTCATGTGGCCTCACTCTCCTTTCGCAGCCTTCTGGAGCTCAGGAAGACCATCGCACATGGTAAGTAGCTAAACTGGGACTGGACCTTATACTTGAGAGTAGGTTGAAAGAACCTTGTTATCATTTTATATTGTCCTTTAAACAGAGACACAAATCAGGACGATCTCTCAAGATTCAGGCTCAAAGGGGAGAAGGAAAAATGGCAGATATGGCCAATACAATAAACTATCCTCTGATTGCCAAGATTTCCCTTTCTATCATACATTACCATGATAGAATGTATCAGTCCAGGGGCCTGGTCCAGGGACTCGAAAGTAAGATCTTGGGCCGAGAAGGACACTGCCACATTTTAAGCATAGGTTTAGGGTGCTTCCAAAGAAAGGACTCCTAGCATGACCAAAAGGAAGGTTTTGTGCATATATTGTTTTTTGTAAACAAATTTTCTACAGTAAAAAAAAAAGGACGGAAGAAGCCAGAAGAGCTGTTGAGTAGAAGATGCAGTATGGAAACCCTCAACAATTCCATGTTTCAGACAGGATGATTGCACAATAAAAGCCTTGTCTGGAAGTTTGCTTGTCTGCTTTTGCTTTCTTTTTTTAAGAAATCAAGCTCAAGTTAAAATCCATAGCTCTGTGGGAGATTCTGGGGGAAATCTAAGTAGTAGTGTGTGAAAGCCCATGCACAAGGTAGTCTATACAGTGTGCTAGAGGTATATGACTTTGCCTAAGCAATATTCCTACAAGCCCTGAATGGTGTGGTAGCTCCCGAGCACACAGATAATTTTAGTGCTGCTGAAGACAAGTCTGAGCTCAAGTATCACTTCCACAGAGGAAAGAGTAGCAAACAACAGTCTGCCTGAGAGACTTTTGACTGAGAAGTCTTCCATGTGACCTTAAGTGGGCTAATCCTATCGATCTCCCTGCTGTCAGGAGCTGTTCTGCTGGACCTGGAGCAAACAACATTACCTGGCATTGCTCATCTGGTGGTAGAGACCATGATAATCTCAGACCAGATCAAGGCTGAAGACCGAGCCAATGTGTTGAGGGCCCTGCTGCTCAAGCACAGGTGTGTATTGTCCTAGGGCTAGAAGACAGTGGGCTGGGGTGTGGTGATAGGAACACATGTGGATGGAGAAGAACTGTTGAATGATAAATAAATGGAATGTGAAGTGTAGCATAATAGAAAAAGTTGGGCTTAACAATTGCACAAATAAGCAGGGACGGCAAGAAGGGATTGAGTAAGAACAAGAGAATTTTCACTGTAGAACTGAAGAGGTACCTGAGGTTGTCTTAGTAACTTAGGATGTCCACAGGTGTTGGATTTTCCAAATCAATAAAAAGTTGATGTGTATGTGAGGTTGCAGAAGAGCTCATAGCCTGGAATACTTGCATGGAAACCAGGCTTTTTAGCTATATAGGTGTAATGAAGTAGGAACTGGCACTTGGAGATAGAGGAACCAGGGATTTCTTGCTGTGAACAAAGCAAGAGTCTGTGAGAAACTATAACCCCTTCACCTTGATCAAGGCTTTTGGCAGTTACTTAAAAGGGGACCTCAACAAAGCTTCAGTGAGATTTAGCCAGGGAAAGCTGTCAAGGACCTATAGATCTTTTTACTAGCCATATTCCTTCTTCAGCCATCCTAATGATGAAAAGGAGGCATTCTTTCCCCGGAATCATTCCAATTCCAGCATGAACTCTGTGGTAGGAAACCACCACCACAACCACAACCACACTGTTGACACTTGCATGCCGTTGATGGGAGAAGAGCGCATTGAAATGACAGAACCCAGAATCCTTGACCCTGACTACAGGGAGGTGAGTGAGAAACAGGCATTAGGACTGAATTGTTTTTTAAAGCGTGCAGATTTGAAGCTGGGTGTGAGCTAAAGAAAAACCTGTGCAAAAAAACAAAAGTGCCAAAAAGTTAAATTTTACAATGGGTACAAATTATGCAAAGCTACGCACAGTTCACTATCTTCCATAATTCCACATTTTATTCTACTTCTGCTAGTCACAAAGAAGAAAAAAAGTCAAGAAGTGACATTTGGCAGCTTGTGTGGTGGGATGGGAGGAATATATACAGGAATTATCAGCATAAAGGCTTAGTGGCTTAAAAATGAATAAATCTGTGTGTGGTGGGGTGATATTGTTGTTACAGCATATGCTAAAATGATCAATTTCTAAACTTGCCTTAGATCAAAACAGCAGGGGATCAAAGACTGTGCCCTGTGGGACCTCAATGACCAGGGAGCAGTCTCTGTCTTTTTATTATGCATTCATTCAGCAAAGCTGAGTGGAGTGTTGCTTCAGCAGCATGGGGTGCAAATATCATCATGGAGAAGGAGTCTTGGCTAATGAGAATCTTTGTGTTGAAACAGAAAAACATGCACCTTCACAGCTCTGAGGGACATCGCGGCAAATATCTCAAGTTGATGGAGAAGATTCCTGATGATGCTGAGGCCACCGTGGTGCTTGTTGGTAAGGAATAAAAATCTAAGACAGAGGTTTTGAGCATGTCTCAAAGGATCATTCTTCCTTTTGCTCTTCTTATATTCTCTTGAGATTAGGCATGTCTGTCAGGCCTGTTTCTTTGCCTGGTTAGTCTTTTTGATTGCATAACCTGCTATGTGTATATTTCATAATGCAAACTTGAGGGAAAACTTGTCCCTCATTAATATTATGTATGTGTGTATTCCTAGTTTGCCCTAGGAACTGTGGATGATTAAGAATTTCCTATAGATGTTTAAGAAATGTGCTGTTATAGAAAGTTGAAGGTTCTAGAAGAGGAAAGGAACCTTCTTTGGGGGATGAGTTAGTTTTTAGTTTTGCTTTTGAAATTCTTTGATCTGGTAGCTGGAGAGAAGTATGGTTAAATTCTTTGTTAGGACTTAATAGAAAAAATCTTGTATACCCATTACACAGCTATGTGTGTGGAATACATAGCTGCTACACAGGCAGAATCACTGCCATATCCTGTACCAATCTTCTTCTACCTGGTGCCTCCAAATATGTTGGATAACAACAACTGGATGTTATCCTATAACACATCTAGAGGACACGAAGTCAGGGAATGCTGTTTCATACCCACTCAGCTAAAGAGGGAGGAGGCAAAACACAACCAGAAAATTCCCACATAGCAGGAAAATAGCACGACACCCTCAGGATCCATAGAAGCACCATCAAAGCCACCCACTATGCTAGCAACACCAGGCATATGTTGTCCACAAAGAGGGAGCCAATGAATTCAGGTTGATGGGATATACTACCAGCATACACATCTGCATCACAAGACAACTTGCAAAATGAAGTACAGGATTGCTCTGAAATTTCCTCAGTATTTCTAGCTGAGAGAAAAGTCAGTCCTCCATCCTGGTTCAAATAAGTTCTATTCTTTCTCATTTGCAGTTGCGGTATTGATAGAATTCTAGAGAAGCTTCTTCTCTTTGACAAGGTATCAGGATCAGTTGCTACATTGAATCTTTAACAGAAAAGTCCTTTTTCAATTTCTTTTTTTCCTACCCTACTAGGATAGTAGTAGGCAAACTACAAATTCTGCATGCCCAGGCATTGTGGCCTGAGATACTTGCATTACAAGCAGGTCCTACAATGAGGACAATGCCACCTTTTGTGTCCTTTTGCCCGGACCCAGATTCTAGGACGTGCTTCCTGCTGTTAGAGCCATGTAGTTTTCATGCTGATTCACATTGCTGTATTTTTCCTCCCCTGGCAGGTTGTGTTCAGTTCCTCAAACAGCCAACAATGGCTTTTGTCCGTCTAAATGAAGCTGTGTTCTTGGAATCAGTCCTGGAGGTTCCAATTCCAGTCCGTTTCATCTTTGTTTTGCTGGGACCCAGCCAATCCAACATGGATTACCATGAGATTGGGCGTTCCATCTCCACACTCATGTCAGATAAGGTGAGGAGCTGTTTGCTGGTTCAGCTTGGAGCTGGAAAATAGATGAGGATGGTAGCAGCATAAGTTCTGAGGCAGGCATTAGAGAGAAGGATAAAGGAAAAGCAGTGCAAAACCAAGGGAGCACAAGGCAGGAAGACTGTTGCATGAAAAGGGACCAAGTGGAATATCAAGTGGGACCAGAAATTCCTAGTCTCAAGAAGGAATAGCAGGGCTTCTAACTGAGGAGAAAAATATTTAGGATAAATCAAAATGTTAAAAAGTCCATCCTCCTGGAGGTTATTGGTTGTGGATACAAACTGGCATTTTTAGATGAAATAATGTTAATTATTCCTTCACAGTGATCAAATTATCCCACTACCTAGATTCCCTGGAGCAATTTACTGCTTAGTGCAGTAGCTAACTCATTTCAAATAGCACCTATAGGAAAATGTGGCATGTTTCATGCCTAGCTGTCAGACAGTGTTTAGATGGTGCACAGTTGCTGACACAACATTCTTCAAGCCTTTTGTGAGAGTCTTCCTGGTTTGGTTCACCAGCCTTGCTTGAGGTTTTGGGAGCATTTATTATGGCTGATCCTCTGTGGTATTTGGGTGGGGAAATCTAAGTTGTAATTTCTGGTTTTTTTATGCATGCCTATGGCCTTTTTTTGGGGACTGCAGGGGGCGCAGTGGTTTAAACCACTGTGCTGCTGGGCTGGTTGATCGAAAGGTCACCGGTTTGAATCTGCACAACGGGGTGAGTTCCTGTTACTCCGTCCCAGCTCCTGCCAACCTTGCAGTTCAAAAGCATGCAAATGCAAGTAGATAAAAAGGTACCACTTCGGTGGGCAGGTAACAGCGTTCCGTGCACTTCGGTGTTTAGTCATGCCGGCCACATGACCACGGAGACTGTCTGCAGACAAATGCTGGCTCCCTTGGCTAGGAAAAGGAGATGAGCACTGTCCCCTAGAGTCAGGCATGACTGGACTTAATGTCAAGGGGAAACCTTTACCTTTTACCTATGGCCTTTTTACAAGTACTTTGGACAGAAACATGAAGTGTAACTCTAGAAATTAGCCGATTTTCCATAAAAACACACAATGGTGATAGAAATAATGAAGTTTATCAACTTTCCATAGTTCCCCATTATGGTATGTAATATGCTTGTTTTGAGAAAAGATTTCAGAGATGGGGCTGTTATTAATCTGATCACGCAGACCACTCAGTAGCAGAAACACTAGTACTTTTTCAAGACCTTAGTGATAGATCCCCAGAATCTTCCATTTGTATCTTAACCTGAGTTTCTGAAGAATGTATGCAAGTATATTGACCATACCCATGTCCTTAAAAAATTAAAATATTTAATCATGTGGAGGATCCCATTGTATTTATGATAGAACACATTCAAAAACTTAGCATAAGGGTAAGTAGTTATGAGGAGATGGAAGGAAATCATGTGCATTTGTGTTAAGGCAATCATGAAAACAATCACTTAGGGTACAATCCTATGCATGTTTAGACAAAAAAATAATTCTGTAATGCCGAGGATTCCCCAGCCAGAATTCCCTGTCTAAATGTCCATAGATTGTACTCTTAACTATTTCTTTATTTGGTCACACAATTGCAAACAAAGAGGGTGTCCTTTTGATTCAATCATGTTGAAGGAACTCATAATGATCGTACAATATGAAAGCCTCGGCAGCAGCAGCAGCTGTGCAAGAAGGGGGAGGCTGTGTTCTAGATAGTGCTACAGTATTGATAGTGTCCAATTGCATACATGTGCACTGGAGTCAAGCTCCATCAGGTTTAACTTCTTGGACACTGAGTGACATTTCAAGAATGGAAACTTCAGGGATCATACGCTTACAGTTTGGTTACAGTAACAATATTTGCAAAAGGCACCCCCACACCCACACCCAGGCACAATAGGAGTAACATAATGATGGTGATCAGATAAATAGGGACAGCTGGAATATAGATTGTTGGCATGACACTCAGTCTGAACTGAGAGCCAAGCTACAGGGGCTTTTGGTGTTGAATTAATACAGGCCTTGAAATGGATTGGTGGGCCAACTTGAGTCTTCAGTAGTGTCTCTGACTAGTGGTATCCAGGAAGACAGAGGCTAGTGAAGAGATGTTCTCTGCCTTCCTGACCATATTCCTTCATTGGCTGACAGCATTTCCATGAAGCTGCTTACATGGCAGATGATCGCCAGGACTTGCTCAACGCGATCAACGAGTTCCTCGATTGTAGCATCGTCATCCCCCCTTCAGAAGTAGAGGGGAAGGATTTGCTCAAATCAATTGCTACCTTTCAGAAAGTGCTGCTGAGGAAGAGAAAAGAACGGGATCAGAAGAAGTCCAACAAAGAAGGGAATGTTCAGGAAGCCAAAGGTCTTGTACCTACCTTTCCTTTGCCCCTAGTGATTGTGCTTTATGCCCTGAGCAGGGTGGGTGTGGGTTTACACAATCTGTGTGCGCCTCTGTGTTATCTCAAAAGAGAAAAAGGACAAGTTAACTAATCCTAAGGAGAGACCTTCTGAAAATTAGTGAAGGCAAATAAGAGGAAATGAGTCTTGCTGGAAGCTGGCACTGAGTGCAAAGATGTCTCTTTTCTACTTCCCTCTCCCATCCCCTCACCACTTCCCTGCCATGCTGTTCATGTTTTTCCAGAGCTGTGTGAAGTGAAAGCAGAAGAGGAAGAGGAGGGCGAGGAAGAGGATGACCCTCTGAAGCGTACTGGCATTTTCTTTGGCGGTTTGGTGCGGGACATAAAGCGCAGGTACCCCAAGTATCTGAGTGACCTCAGAGATGCCCTGCACAGCCAGTGCCTCGCAGCCGTACTATTCATCTACTTCGCTGCTCTCTCTCCTGCCATCACCTTTGGGGGACTGCTAGGTAACACGTCCACCCGCCTTCTTCCCCTAACAGACATTCTTTGCTCAAGCTGGTTCCTATCTGCTTGTACCGCTCAAGAGGTTGAGAAGGATTGGTTAAATATTTGCTTGTGCTTGTACCAGCTAAGTGGCTGGGATTGGTTCATCAGTGCTTGGATCCATGCTGACCAAGTGGGCAGATTCCGTTTGGCTCTTGCTATGTCCAAATGAGTTTGGCTCTGTCCCATTTCACTCTTGCCTGGCTCTGGGGCTTTCTAGTCTATGCATGTCCCTTGCCATTCTCACTGGCAACAACAAAAGCAATTTACTACTAGTAATTGTCGCTCCCTATATTGCTGAGGTGGAATTGTGGTGTTCAGACAACTTAGGGGCTAAATTGGGTAGCAGTGAATGCAAAGCAGGAAAGGAAGCAGTTTCAGCCTATCCTTCCAGAAAAATAAAGGGTGGTCAGAATGGCCCCATACATCCCATAAACATCCAGAGTGTTAGCAGCCAAGGGTAGCACATGAGCAATGACAACATATTCCAGGAAGCAGAGAGCAGTGACAGGCATCAGCAAGCTGTTAAGAACATAAACAAAGCCATACTGGATCAGACCAAAAGTTCATCCAGTCCAGCACTTCATAGACATTGCAGCAAACCAGCCACACCCGCAGGATCCCTCAAGCAGGATGGGTGCAAGCCCTCCACCTGCCCAAACTCATCCGTAACAGGGGCTAGAAATATACATTTTTCATTGGTGAGGACAGGCTCACTACTGGATAGGTTAAGATGATTAACCTTGAATGCAATCCTCTGCCTAATATTCTATGAAAGTTCATGAATGTCTGTGCATTTATTACTTAAGCACTAGGACATGTTATGTAGACTCATGATGCAATAAAGATGCAGCCTTCTTCATATTTAGAAAGAAAAACATCTTACAACTCTCAGCATTTCTCCAGCCAGACATATTGGCTGGTGCATGCTAAGAACCATAGGAGGGGTTTTTGGGGGGGGGGGAGGTTGTTTTTGTTTTGTTTTTGTCATACATATGATTCCACCCTTAGATTTCTGAAGCTAAACAAATCTAATTCTGGTGAGTGCCTCAATGGGAAACCCCATTGGGTACCACATGTGTGTTACTTTGAGTTCCATCATGGAAGAAAGATATGGTATAAATATCATAAAGAAATTTTAGGAACAAGATGCCATACAATATATAACATAATATAACGCCTGCCCATAGAGTTACATTCTGTAATTTTGCTCATATTAGAAGCAGATCCTGAAGCAGATAAAAGTAGGCACTGTTACCCTTAGAATGCTTCTACACTTCTTTGAGAAAATGCAATGCCCTTTCATTATTGTGTATTGATAGCAATGAGTGTAGTCATATTCAAGAAATTCTTGAAATAAGTACAACATTTGCTATCACTGCAGCTAAAAAAAAATATCTTCTTGATCAGAGAGAAAGAACAGACAGGAAAGACACAGCCAATAAGATCAGCTCAGTCTTGGTTCTACCTTCCACAAGAGAGCAGGGTTAATCAGTGGTTCCCAAGTCTAGGCTTGAGAGGAGTAACTTCTCTCTCTCTCTCTCTCTCTCTCTCTCTCTCTCTCTCTCTCTCTCCCTCCCTCCTTCCTTCCTTCCTTCCTTCCTTCCTTCCTTCCTTCCTTCTAGATTTTTACTTCTGTTCAGACTTGTGACATGGTGCTAGGAAGGAGTCTCTCCTTTCTTTCCATCTCTTAGTTTCTGTAATACCTATTTGGTTACAGTATTACTTCAAAAAACCCAATATTTGTATTTGTTCAAAAGGCAGAATAAGAAATACTTAAGCCCATCCTTATTGTTCCTCAATGAGTGTATTTGGTTTCCAAAGCACTCCAGTTACTACAGTGTCATCTGGTCTGAGAACTATGTCATGCACATGATTTAGCAGTCATGCGCCCTTCCTTACTTCAGCTCATTTCACCGGCCCAGAAAAGGAGGTGACAGTGTTTTGGTGCAGCACTGCTTACCTGATTCTTTCAGAATTGGGTGGGATTAGTGCTCTGATGATGGCTGTCAATTATGTCTCATGGAGGGATCTCATGCCCTTCCTTAGTCCAGCTTGTTTCACAGATCTGGAAAGGAAAGTAGCAGTATCCAGGTGCAGTGCTCTGTATTTGTTTGTTTTTAACTGGCCTAATAGTTGCCAGTTATGTCCCACCCAGGAATCACATGCCTTTCCTTACTTCAACTTGTTTGACACATCTGGAAAGAGAAGTAGCAGTGTGCAGATGCAGCTCTTCATTCCCATTCATGGGCAGAGCTAATGCTCCTGTGATGGTTGGTACTTATGTCCATCAGTGATATTGACAGAGGAAGCCCGCATGTGGGAAACCTGTTGGTGGCCATATGCACCATGGCCATGGTATCAGACACTGTACAAGCTCCTCCAACAGGTGTTCAGCCCAACAACATTCTAACAGTTTAAAGATAGTGAGTGGGGTCCTTCAGCAGTAATGCAGGATGAGGTCTGGAAATCAGTTCAAACAGGCTGAAATTGCAGTCATGCCTAGCAATAAGAGAAAGGGCACTGGTGGAGCCAAGGAGTTTTAGAACGAAGCATGAACATTTTGGTTGCAGTGCTCACTGGGGTGTGTTCCCCAGCAGCCCAGGAAATAAAAGCCCATCTGTAGGGGTGCAGCTATCTACTTACTGATGTGTTCAGTTCCCAGAGGATTTGTCCATATGATGATGAGACCTAGTGCAACAAGATGGTCATCATGGGCAGGTACTCATTTAATCCATCTGGAGATGAACACCTGACAGAAGCTGGGGCAGCAAGGTTGATTTCAGAGAGATGAGAGTTATCAACCCCCTCAACTCCCCCACTCTCCAACCATTGAGAGCCAGTGTGGTGTAGTGGTTAAGAGCATGGGACTGGGACTCAGACAATCTGGGTTCTAGTCCCCGCTCAGCCATGGAGCCAACTGGGTGACTTTGGGCCAGTCACAGACTCTCAGCCCAACCTGCCTCACAGGGTTGTTGTTGTGGGGATAAGATGAAGGAGGAGATGCAAGCTGCCTTGAGCCCTTTGTTGGAAAAAGGCAGGATATAAATAGATAAATAAATAAATAAATTGATGGGAAAGCTCCAAACTTAGAAAATATTAATTCCTCATTGTCTTTGCGCTTCACGCATATAAGTTCTGGGCCTGTATAGAGCTTGTCTTCAGGAAGTTTCTATGCCCAAGAGAGATTCGGTGGAAATCTCTCCCTCACCTTGATTATGATCAAGCACCTGGCAAAAGAGATAGAATAGGTGCCTGCTGCCCCTGAGGCACAGCTCAGGAAAAAGTGAGAAAATTATCTTATCCTCTCCCCATTCTGACCCTTGTGGGGAGTATATGATGCTATTATAATAGAACTGAGGTCAAGTAGTAGTTTCTTTTTCTCATCCTTAGATAAACTCTTCCTTAGGCAACTCTTCATGGGACATAAGTTCAGTCCTCCTGAAGGAAGGAAGGAAGGAAGGAAGGAAGGAAGGAAGGAAGGAAGGAAGGAAGGAAGGAAAGTTTGGGTTCTATAGCTAGAAAACCTGCTACCTCTATAAAAGCTCCACAGACAATTCAGAAGTATTTAGAAGAAAGTGTTATTAATACAAGATGCTGCCATGCCTTCCTATTGAATCACTGCTATCTACCCAGGGATAAATCTTTTTACCTAACCATTGGCATTTTAAATTTTCTGCAGGTGCTCAGGTGAATTGTCATTGCAGTTATGTATTTCTTGGGTTCCATGGCCAACTTAAAAATAACAATTTAAATAAATAAAAGGGATCCACATTGCTGGCAAATGGGTGGATCTATACTGTTAGTAAGTGCCAACATCTTGAATTGAGTTCAGATGAATGTGACTTCATCTTGCTTATCCAGTTAACATTCTGGCAGACAAGTTTTGCACTAACTGAAGTCATCTTCAAGGGTAGCCCCATGTAAATTGCATTTCAGAATCAAGAAGCATTCCAGGCTGCATATGTATTGTTTAAGATTGAATACCAGCCTCCCAAACCCAAGAACTATGTTTTCACTCTGGCTCCTTCTTGTCAAGATTGCATTCTAATATTTTGACCCTCATCCAGCCCATTACCAAATCCAAATGAGTATGCATGAGATGACTCACTGACACTGGCAAGAGAGAGAAAAGATTATGAAATGTCCCTGTGGTGAGCTCCATGTGCCAGGGGAACCAAGCAAATGTTTCTGTCTGCCATTCTGCAGCATATCCCAGAGGCACTGTTTTTCCCTACAGGCGAGAAGACTGAAGGCCTGATGGGCGTTTCAGAATTGATCATCTCCACATCTGTGCTGGGCATGCTCTTTTCTCTGCTGAGTGCTCAGCCTCTTCTTGTCATTGGCTTCTCGGGGCCCTTGCTTGTCTTTGAAGAAGCTTTTTACAAGGTAAACCATTAGTTTTACTTAGTTTGCATAGTTTTATGTTGCCAAGTCCATATGCATATGGTGTATCTATATAACACTGCAGTGTGTGCACACACATGCACAGGCATTCATCATCTTCTAAGACTCAACTCTAGCCTAATGAACAGATTGCCTGAGTGGCATGGTTTCCACCAAAATTCCACCAAAAGCATAGGCTAGAAGAGAGTTATGTGATAAATTTTTTGTAGGAAGTGATTCTTACCAGAGCTGAAATGATTTTCACTGTCTCACATTCCAAACCCATGTCATATATATAGTCTGGAAATTGTTCCACATTGTGAAGAGGCTCCCCTTGTTTGTCAAAGAATCACCACCAACAGATGCCATACATCTACAAACTGCAGGTTTAATCGATGTGCATTATCCTTGCTTGAGGAAACCTTATGTTCCAACCAGAGAAGGCTGCTGTATGACATAAAATAGAGTGGGGATGTTTTCAATTTAATTATGCGTGGGATAAATCCATTGCTTTAGCCTAGAGACACTCTGTCTCACTCTGCTGGTGAGCAGAAAGAGTGGTTCTGGACCATCAGAGTTTCTGTTTCTGATGCTTTGTGCATTTCCTGTCTTTGCCTGCATGGGAATTTGACCTGTGTGTTTGTCTTAGGTAGTGTGTCCTCTAAGAGGGTTTGGTATGTATGCTGGAGAAATATGCACAACTGACTAAAGTGTATGGTGGCTGACATGCAACACAATGTATAGGGATGTGGGATGGGTTGATAATAACAAAATGTGCCTCAAACAGCCTGGTCAGGTTTAGACAGAGCAACTCAATTAGGTGTTGACAAGCATAAAGCTAAACAGGGGATAGATGCTGATGAAACTCCCTTCTTGCTGAATTGTTTACCACTGCTCCCACACATAAACCAGGAGGGTATTATTATGCCTTTGCTGCAGGCTTACCCAACTTATGACTTGACAAACTGAACATTGTTTATCAGGATTTTGATAAACATAAAATTATGTTGCCTTCTTGGAACTGCAAACACAAGGGGCTTGTCCAACTCCTGGCAAGCTTGTGGTACAGAATGGGTTGAGCGGGCCAAGACAGGGAAAGCAAGGAAACATGGTGAGGACAGCCTTCACTCTCTTTGTCACCTGAATTTCTACTTTGCCAGTTCTGCCAGAACCAGGACATTGAGTATCTGACAGGCCGGGTATGGATTGGCTTCTGGCTTGTTGTCTTCATTGTCATCATTGTGGCTGCTGAGGGGAGCTTTCTGGTACGCTACATCTCCCCCTTCACTCAGGAGATCTTTGCCTTCCTCATCTCCCTCATCTTCATTTATGAAACATTCTACAAGCTTTACAAGGTAAGCCTTTTCTAAGGAATGTGTTTTGCATCTTTCTGTCTGCTGGTATCATCTCTGTGTCAAATATATGAGATCAGCTGTGCCTTTTGATTATTCCCTCCCATGCTGTCCTTCAACAGGAAGGATTAACAACTGCTCTGTCTGCCCTGGCTGGCTGTAACTGTCCTCTTTCCTTGCACAATAATCCCAGGTCTTTACAGAGCACCCGCTGCTGAGGTTCTACCCACCATATCATCAAAGAAGTCTGAATGCCAGCACATTGCCTACTGATTCTGTGGCTCTTGAAACTCAGATGCAACCCAACACTGCCCTGTTGTCCCTTATCTTGATGCTGGGAACCTTCTTCATTGCATTTTTCATGCGCAAGTTTAAGAACAGCCGCTTTTTGGGAGGAAAGGTGAGCCTAAGGTCCAGCTCCAAAGGAATGAAATGTGTTGTGGCTTTTCTCCAAACAATCATTTTACCTGGTTTCCCGATTGTCTCCATTTGTACATCCAGTGAAATAGAGATTTCTTCCCCTAGTGATAGTACTGATAAGTGGACATGACCTTCGGTTTCCTTTCCTATATGGCTTTTCAAGCAAATAGTTTGGCATAGTTGTGGAAGCAAAAGCTACTTCTCTCAGCTTGGCCCCAAAATGCTCAATTTTAACTTATTTCTATAGCAATACTGCTACTGAACTACCCTTACCCTCTAGGATACGGGTGAGAAATCTGTGGCACTCAGGTTGCTACTGGATTCATGTCCCATCAATCCCAGCCAATGGGAGTTGTGGTACAATAATGTCTAGAGGACATTCCCTAGCTTAAATGTTTTGGAGATTATTCTGAATGTGGCTTGGCATTTCTCAGTGTTGGGACCTATGAGTGGCTAGGAGGCCTTAAGGTGCTAGCAGTGTAGAGCTGGAGAAGAGTGTTAGAAATTAGTTTATTACCTTCAAGAACATACTGTACTATGCCAGATGACTCCCACTTCAGGTATTTTCCGTCAGAATCATCCTCTCTGTGTCATGGTAAGTACAAATTACTTCTGTGTGCAGAATTGGTATCAGGACATAGGTAGGATCTTGAATGGCTTCTGTCCCTCAGAAGCCTGTCCAGCCTGTCCTATACTGATGCTCATCTCCCATGTTTGCTGTGCAGGCCCGACGAATCATTGGAGATTTTGGAATACCTATCTCCATTCTTGTCATGGTTCTGGTGGACTATACCATCACTGATACATATACACAGGTAGGTGCTGCACATTCTTATGGAGGATGAGAGAAATATGCTTTCCAGGTATTTGAACTTTAACCTGAACCAGCTATTGCATATAGGAGTACCGGCATATGTGGGCACCTTCTTGATCACATGAAAGCAAGGCAAATTTTTAAAAAGAAAGAAAACAAGGCTTTAAAGAAGAAAACAAAATCCGGTTCAGGTCATGCTATTAGGCATGCTCTTTCAGAGATTTCTGCTACCTTTAAGCAGTTTGTTGTATGTGGGGTTGCTTAGGGGCAGAAGACTGCTTGTTTGGCTGGGCTTCCAAATGGCACCATGGGCTGGGATTTTGAATGGTTGCAGCAGTAGTGTTGAGAAGCAGTGGATGTGTCTTTAGTGCCAATAGAAACTAAGGGACTGTAGTAAGTCTTGAAAGAGCAGGATTTCTTCTACTGTCTAGAACAACATATATGGAGAAGAAATTCAGTCCTCTCTCTGTCACTCAGTGGAGCTCTCTTGGTTCTCCAGAGCCTATTCCATGCTGGCCCCAAGGATGTATTGGAGTCATCCAAGTTCTGTGCAATGTATTTGCTATGCATGCCCACTCTTGCATCTGCCAGGAATTAGGCTGCAGTGTTATTGCAGTGAAATCGGGCAAGATATCCATAGCACAGTCTATTCAAGTTATTTTGGATTAGTTCTAGTTAGTACAGATCAAAGATGTTGATATTACTTGGATAGGTTCATGCAACCATGTCAGTACTGGATCTTTGCTTCTCTTGACTAATAAAAGCTAGCATGAAGGGAACAGCCAGCTTGGCTAGGGAGGTGATTAATGCCCCTTTATGGGAAGGAGTGGTCCCATGCCATTTGAAACAGGCAGTGGTGAGGCCACTCCTGAAAAAAACCCTCATAATTTTAGGCAAATATTCCCTTCCTAGGCAAAGTTCTTGAATAAGTAGTAGCCAACCAGCTCCAGGCACTCTTGAACAAGACTGATTATTTGGATCCATTTCAGTCAGTATTCAGGCCTAGCTCTGGCACAGAAACAACTTTGGCTGCCCTGTGTGATCCTCTACTCCTGGATCTCTCAGCAGCTTTTAGTACCATTGACCATGGTATCCTTCTGAGGAGGTTGGCTGAGTTGGGAGTGTGCAATACTGCATTGCAGTGTTTCCATTCCTACTTGGAGGGCTGTCTTTGGAACACGGTGCTTAGGAAATATTGTTCAATCCCATGGATTCTCCAGTATGTTCCCCATGCTATTTAACATCTACATGTAACCACTGAGTGAGTTCATCCAGAGTTTTGAAGCATGTTGCCATCAGTATACTGGTGATATACACCTCTGTCCTTTTCATCTTCAGAAGGTGAGGGTGTGGATGTGCTAAGCCAATGTCTGACTGTGACAAAGGACTGGCTGAGTACTAGCGAACTGAAGCTCAAGCTGAGATTCTGTTAGTGGGTGACTCTTCTGAGCAGAGGAAGGGAACTCAGCCTGTTCTAAGTGCGGTCACACTCCCCTTGAAGGAGCAGGTTCATAGCTTGGGTGTGCTGCTTGAGCCCTCATTGTCACTTGAGGCCCAGCTGGCTTCAGTGGCACAGCGTGCCTTTTACCAGCTTTGACTGGTGGCCCAACTATGCCCCTGCCTGGACATGGATAACCTGGTTTCGGTAATTTGCTCCAAACAAAATGATTGCAATGCATTCCACTCGGGGCTGTCATTTAGGAATGTTCCAAAGCTGTAGCTTATGCAGCAGCCAGAATAGTATCAGAAACCAAAGGGTCCAAACAGATAACACTAATCCTGGCCCACTTGCTTTTCTGCCTATATGCTTCTGAACCCAATTCAAGGTTCTGGTTTTACAGCTTGGAACCACAATACCTGACTGAACACCTCTCCCAACCTCAGTCTACTTAAACCCTATGATTAAGATCAAGGGCCTGCTTCTGATTGCTACCTCCAAGGGAGGCTCAGCTGATAGTAACAAGGGGAAGGGCCTTTTCAGTGGTGGCCCCCCAGTTATGGAACAAGTTCCCTACTGTGGCCTACCTGCCACCAACTTTAATATCTTTTTGGTGCCAGGTAAAAATTTCCTCTATAACAGGGCATTTAATTAGTTTACTGTTATACCAGGGCTTATGTTGGCTGCTTAAACAGGTCTTACAATTTAATTTATATAAGCTATTATAGCTTTTTACATTCATTTTAAATTTGGCTTTTAAATTTTGTATGGTAATGTTGACTATTTTTTAAAATGTTGCTTGTATTTTATCTGTTGTTGTAAATATCCTAGAGAGCTTTGGCTATTGGGTGGTATAAAAATAAAATCAATCAATCATCATTATCGTCATTGTAAAGGCTACCAAGGAAAGCTAAGGGATTGATGACATGCAAACTTCCCTGTTCCTTGCTCAGTGACGGAGTTTTTAAACTAGAAATGGACTGGTGTGGGTGGGAAAATAATTACAATGCAATGTAGAGATTTTGCATGTCAGCAGCACTTACCTGTATGAACTACTCAGCCCATAATTCTACACATCTGTCACATAGACAAGCAGAGAACATTACAGACTGTGCACAGATACAGGAAGGCACCTGTGGGAAATGAGCAAGCTCAATGGGTGCACCTGAAGCCCATTAAACTATAGACATACACACACTGCCAGTGCAAACATGTCCAATTAATTTTACTTTCATCTAGATTCCCAAATAGCCTAGCATACTGTGGCATTTCTAATGGCATATGGTACCTACCAGGGTATTCCACTCCCTGTGTACATAACTTGCCCCCAAGCTCTTTCAGTTGTTTGTGAAAGAATTAAAGAAAAAGTTTTGTTGACCTTCAGGATCCAGTGCTGTTTTGTAGCACAAGGAGTTTATGGATCATAACCCACTTTGAAAGATAGATAGGCATTCCACTGAAACAAATAGAAGCAAGAATCCATGCAGAAGTAAATTGCAGAAGAAAAACATTCTAAAGCATTCTTGGTGCTTTTTAAATTCCTAAGTTTCATTTTAAACTTTGTCTCATATTTCTGCTTCCCCCAGTTCTCCCCACTTTATGGAAAAATCATCCATGTACCAATACTTGAAACAATATATATTATTAGATAGACTTTTATAGCTCCTGTTCTTTTGCAAATTTGGTATTTTTATGTCATGGCTTCTAGTGAAGAGCAGGCTCTCTCAACTTAAGATTTATTTATATTAATAACTGCAGTTGGTTGTAATGTAAAAATGTAGTTGTGAATCTGGTGGCTCCTGTACTGCAAACAGACTGTTCATTTTAGCCACTCTCCACAACAACAAGCTTATTCCGTACACAACATATTACTACTTTACTACATTGGCTGTCGCTGACCAAAGAGAATTTAGTAATTCTTACCCACTTTTCTATTCTCAGGTTGTCTCTAATTTTATCTAAGCATTCCCTTACTCTCCATCTCCTCCTCTGCTACATTTTTCTTAGGGTTTTTTCATCATTCAGGACAGAGTTTTAGCATTCATCTATATCTGCAGTATAACAAAAAAATAGTTGTGGAGGGGAGTGGGAGAGAGGAAGAGGGTGGAGCCGGGAGAGAGAGGTGCAGTCAGGACCATAGTTCCAAGACTGTGAAACCTAAAACTCAACATGCACGCTAAGGGGCCTGTCGGGATGTGCACCTTGGGGCTTTTTAAAAAAGCATTAATCCGTGTAATTTAAATCTGTGTTTGAAGCCTTTAGTACCAACAACAATCACTAGGTGGCAAACTTCCTTAACCAGAATATAGCTTTGCAATTGACACAGTGTGAAGTTGGTAGAGAGTAGCCTGATCTACAGAGTTATACAAGGGGCCCAGCCCCACTACTCTGGGAAAGATCCCCCTCAGGGTATTGAGTGAACAGACCCCTCCATCAGGAGGACCTTAGAGAGAATCCTGGCAGAGGCCAGGCCTAGGAGTGCCAGTGGACATCACTTTGCTCAGATGTGTTTAAGTCTGACAGCTGCAAAAGGGCTTTGCTGTATCTAACAAAAGTCTATTCCATCCTGTGTGAAGCCTGATCTGTTCACCAGTGAGTAACAAATTTGGTTCATCCTTAAGGCTTTGCCTTGAGTTGGGCCAATAAACCTTATACAAAGCTGTTTAGGGATTATCAGGTTGAGTTAGAAGTTTGTGGATATTTATGCCACTTGAACAACCAGAGACAGGGCTAGCCTTACTATGAGTCAGAGTGAGATGGCTGCTTCAGCAGCAGATGCTGGAGACACAGAGGAACAGTGAAGTGCTAGTGGATACAGCTGTGTCTGCCATGGACTGTGCCCTGTGCTTCCCAAGCTTGCCTGCTGCTCCCAGGTACTACAGAGCATGCTTTTCCTTTGCTACTGTTAAATTAAGATTCACCTGTCAATCCAGTAAGCTGCTCTCCACAGAATGGGAAGGGGGAATTTTTTTTCCCCCTTCAGGCAGCAAAATATCTTGGGACAGAGTTGTCTGAGTAGATTCAGACAGAATGATCTTATTTTTAAGCCAAGATTGGCTCCAGTTGCGAAGCTAGACCACCTATCCATGGCCTAATTCATAGGAAGTATTCATAGGGAGCATATGTAGGAGCAATGTTTTATTTAGAACAGCAAGTCCAGATGTGTATATGTATTATATTCCATGCACAAAACAAGGTTTTGATTCCCCCCTCCCTATCTTTTGTGCTCTCTCCACAGAAGTTGAATGTTCCTTCAGTATTGTCAGTCACTACCCCAGATAAGCGTGGTTGGTTCATCCATCCTTTAGGCAGCAAGCAGCCTTTTCCTATATGGATGATGTTTGCTTCTGCTATCCCCGCATTGCTGGTCTTCATCCTAATCTTTATGGAAACCCAGATTACCACGTAAGTGTCCAGATTCCACAGTGTGAGCAAGGTTTTTCTGTAGCAAGCACCCTATTGGTGCCAAGTAAAAGTTAAGATTATTGCAGTAGCTAACTTGTGAGTGTAGATGGTAAGTCAAAATCAAGGGGTTAGTCAAAGCAAACTCTTTGAAAGGTATCCATATTGCACAAAGAGGTTCCCCTACTTCCAGTGATGCAGGATACCGTCCCTGCATTGTGATGCATATTGTTGCCTCTTGTGTTCCTTTTATTGCCCATGTGTCCTGAAGCTCTCTTCCAAGCCTCCACCTAGAAAAAGCTCTTGCAAAGAATTAAAATTACGTCTTCCCTGTGTCGCTGTTCCTTTTCCTATAGCAAAAGAGAGTTGGACTGGCCTTGAAACTCATATGTGCTCTGTCTACTCTCTTCTTTGCAGCCTAATTGTCAGCAAAAAGGAACGAAAGCTGATGAAGGGGTCAGGCTTCCACCTTGATTTGCTACTCATTGGTACAATGGGAGGGCTCTGTGCCCTGTTTGGGCTGCCTTGGCTCACGGCTGCCACTGTTCGCTCAATCACCCATGTCAACGCCCTCACTGTCATGAGCAAGGCCATTGCACCTGGTGAGAAGCCCAGGATTGAGGAAGTGAAGGAGCAGCGAGTGACAGGAGTGCTCATCGCTGGCCTTGTTGGTGAGGTCCACAGAGGAATTTGTTCTCTGAGGGGGCTGTGTTTACTTTAGCTCACCTGATTGACGTATTTGCTCTGCAGGCATTTTTCTCTGGTGAAGCAACTCTGTGTATAGTATACTGTAGTGGGAGCTGGGGCAGGAGCTTAGTGGACACAAGCAACCCTTTCTCCTTCCAAACCACTGAACTATTTATCTGTATGGACACCAAGCCCTGTCCCATGTATTCATAAGTATTTACATGTCCGTCAGTGCCAGGCATTGTCTCAGGCCCTCATCATGAAGTCTAGGTACATTTGTATGTGCAACAAAGTATACAACACAGTGTCCTGCCCTTGCAGGCTTGTCCATTGTCATGGGGAATGTATTGAGCCAGATCCCATTGGCTGTGCTGTTTGGGATTTTCCTGTATATGGGTGTGACATCACTGACTGGCATCCAACTATATGAGAGGCTCCTTCTTATCTTCATGCCATCCAAGCACCACCCTGATCACATCTATGTTGTCAAGGTAGGTGCACTGGGGAAGCTGGTGGAGATGAAGCAGTAAGTCCAGTGGAATGCAAGGTGAGAAGTATTGGAAGAAAGAGAGTAGGTGCAGAGGCCCTGTAGTGGCTGGCTGGGCAGGCATGGGGAGGAAGTAACCATTTTACTGACTAGTATTTCACACTGCTTTATGAGAGACAGCCCTTCTGTGGATGGGAGTGGCATGTGGAAACTCTGGTACTTTGGCAAATGCTGACAAGTAAGACTGCTAAAAGAAGGGTGCATCATGTGGCTGGTCTGCCTTTAGGTGAAGACATGGCGAATGAACCTCTTCACATGCATCCAGTTAGCTTGCATTGTGCTGCTGTGGGTGGTGAAATCCACAGCGGCATCGCTAGCTTTCCCATTTGTCCTGATCATGACGGTCCCTCTGCGACGATTCCTGCTGCCACGTTTCTTCCACGAGAGAGAACTCAAAGCGGTAAGCAAATCAACTTAATAATCCTGGCCTTGGCCCTCCTGCAGTCATTGTCTTAAAGTGTATCCAGTTTAATTTTGCCAAATGGATATTATCCTAATTTGGAGACTTTTTATGGCATTATTACAGAATATTTGAAGTGGGAAAGCAAGGGACTATGCTGGAGTAGCAAAGAGTCAGTTCTGGGCCACAGAGCCATTGTGTATTTTCCCAAATACAAAGACTGCCTTCAGCCTCATTGTGCCTTTAGGTCTTTGCTCTGTGGTTGTATGGCTACTTACCCATGTCTTTTGTCTTTCCCTCCATTTGCAGCTGGACTCAGAAGATGTCGCACCAAATTTTGATGAAGATGGGCGGGATGAATACAATGAACTTCACATGCCTGTTTGAGCTGACTAGCACATGTCTACTGGCCTCAGTTCTTCCCTGGCTTCATGGGATAGGCCCTCTTTCCCCATGCTGCCCCTGAACAACAAAGGATCAGATATGGCTTTGAACTGATTATGGGCCTAGGCCAACTGGCAGCTGTGCCATAACCTTCAAGAAGCTCTAGGCCACAAGAGAAGCCTTGGCCCAGCAGAACAAGAGATGCTTCTTGCTTCTGGGCATACACAGAACATGGGGCCACTCACCATCACTCACATTCTCCTGAAACAGGTCTTGCTGGTATTGTTGCTGTGCCATGTGTAGGCCAGAGTAGATATCTTAGCCAGCTCACTTTATTCTCTTCCCTCCAGGGGACAAGCAGATTCCACTGCTTTGCCAAGGGAAAAACAGCAGCAGGCCAGTAACTGGGCTTTGCCAGAAATGGTAGGCTTCATGTCATTCAGACAGAGCTAACAGATTCCTAAGTTGGGGTTGCAACTGGCACCTCCATGCTGAACCTTAGCCATTCAATCCTATGAACATTCAAGTGTTTGTGGTCCATCTGCTGTTCTGCATGATGCCTTCAGCTGGAATATCCTTCTTGTAGAAAACTCTGACCCCTTCTATTTGAAGAATGGCAGTGATGCTGGCTGAAGATAGCCAACTGCTGTGAGCACGAGCAGGATCTCCTGCATCCCTATTTGCTCTGTAAGTGCAATGCGGGTTCTTGTGCAATACTCATGGTACATGTAACTTGTCATGCATGGTACTGTGCCTGTTCTCACCATCTCTCAGGACAGCCATAAAGGTTTTCCAAGTAGTCAGTGATTTGTGAAATAGATCTCCACTCATATGGGAAAAGAAGTACAGGAGAAACTTGCCAACATAACCTGTGTACCGGGAACAAACTAACTTAAAGACTGAGTGAAAATAGCATGACCACCATAACCAGATATGAAAAAGAGCATTGCTGCCTTGGGATTTGCCTGGTCCAGAGAACAGAAATCTTTCACAGTTATTACCAGATTTTCTGTTTTGGACTGTAGCTTGTCCTTCACTATTCCTAGCTTCAGCTTCTTTCTTGCTCTGGTCTGCAGTTATGGATTGCTGTTGCATTTCTCACCTTACACTTGCCTTCTAGTGGTCTCCACTAGAAGGCCTCTGAGGGCCAAGCCTCCAGTAAGGCCACCCATAGCCAGGCCTTAGCAACTGGAGGGCATCTATGGCTTTGAACCATTGCACTATATGAGCCCTCTGTAGCATAAGAAGTTTCTCTTCATTTGTCTCTTTACACAGTTCAATGGCTTCCAATTCCTGGACTTACTTGGGCTCTAAAATTCACTGCCCCTTCCTCAAGCCTTCACACCCTACCACTTCATCCAATAGCTGCCTTGATGTACTCTTCTTAAACCCTACTTCTTTCCTTTTTATCTTCAACTGGCATATAAAGAAAATTCAGATTTTGTGACAGGATCAAATTGCAGAAAATATGCATTGGCTTCAGTCACTAAATTTGATTTTTTTTTAATTTATTTTTTTTTTAAGAATCAGAATACCTTGCTCTTCATTGGTGAATGACATACGTTCAGTCCTAGAAGTCATTCACATGACATAGTCCATGGGACTGAGCTCATACAAATAGCATACAGCTGGATTTCAGTGCAAGATTCAGATTAGGAGCTGCTGCCCCATTAAGTCATCATATGGGGACTCTAGTGAATTGTGAAGTCCTGTTTTATAAATCTGTTAGATTATGTACGTGGAATAATGGGGTGTGCAAAAGTGCCAGCCATGACTCCTGCTACAGCCAGGCGCAGAACCATGTGGCTTAAGAGTGTGGCTTATGGCGCAACTACTGCCTGGCCCCTGTCAATAAAATGGAGGCACTCCCTCCCCACCTACCTCAGGGGCTGCTTGTTGATGGCTGGATAGTTGAGAGGCCATATGTATTCCTCATTCCCAGCTGGCTGCCAGACTGCCCCACCCACAGACAGTGACCTCCATTGTGCCCTGTGTAGCCAGGACTGGAAACTTGAACTGTTGGCGCAGAGTCCCCAGTACTCTGCATTTGCATTGCAACTCTTCTGAATGTAGTATGAATGAATATGGCTGCACCAATAAACCCTTCACTGGAATGCTGGGCCTGTCTTCTGTTCTGAGTCCTAGAAATAGTCAGCTTGGCAAAGGAATAGAGCCATAGGCACAAGCTACAGTATGGTCACTCTGCCCTAGTATGAAAGGTGTGCGTTTATTCTTCACTGCATTTTTGAGAGACAGGTAAGATCTGACTCCACACCTTTGTACTTGAAAACTCACATATTCCATATGCCCAAGATTAGCCAATTAACACTTGTTCTTCGTTGTGGCCTCTGTGCATCACACATATGGGTGCTGCGCCTGTGCAGTGCCTTTGGCCGGAAGATTGCAAGCTAATGGTTTTTGGCGGGAAAGCTCTGCTCCCCCTCCCCCCATGGCCTATAAAGAGTGGAGCGTCCGCCATTTTGTTCAGTCTTTGCAACCGCCATTCACTGTGCCTCATGCCGCTTCGCTCTCGCTCTGACTATTGCTTGTATAGCTTTTTCTTCTCGATTGTTCCCAGTTGTTATAGCCCCAGTATTTTCTTCTTATTCCTGTTAGTTAATTCCTCTACTTCATTTAGTTCTTGTAGTTTTTCTCTATCGTTCTACCTTTCTTTTGATCTATCTATCTAAAAAATAAAACCAAAAATATAAACTTACCCTCTGCACGCTCTCTTTTTCCTTTTCCTACGATGGCGCAGCGAGCGGCTTTCCGCAAATGCGTGGAGTGCAGGTCGAAAATGTCACCAACTGACCCACACGACCTATGCCTCCTCTACTTGGGTGAGGGGCATAGGACCGACAAGTGTTCTCACTGCCTGGCCTTCTCTAAGCAGGCCAGGAAGAACCGTGAGAATCACCTCCGGAGGCTCCTTTGGGATCGGGCTCTCATGCAGTCCGATCCGTTGCTGGCTGCTCCAAAGCCTGGCTCCACTTCAGCGGCCCCACCTTCACGCCCTTCGGACGAAGGTGCATCTACTACGGTGGCTCCCTCTGCTTCTCCCAAGAAGAAGCATGAGAAGCGGAAGCATGCCGAACCCGATAAGTCGGCAGGTCGTAAGAAGGCTAGGAAGGAGAAAGTCTCGAAACCTTCCAAAAAATCGAAGGATTTGGAGCGTCCTCGTCACCAGGACTCGGATTTGACGGCCCCCTCAGTACCAGCGGCACTTACTGTACCGACTCCACCTGACCCAGTGCTTCAGGAGGCTATACAGGTTACCCCTCAAGGGTCCCTGCGCCGTATGGCTTCCCCACTGGGCCTCTTCCAACTCTACAAAGAGGCTTCATCTCTGATGGGGAAATTCAGGACTCTCCCCCTAGGGCTCGGTCGCCTACACCTATGCCCGCAGCCACTATGGAGGCAGATGTGGGGATATCCCCGCCTAGGAGCCGGAGAAGCCACTCCATGGAGCAGCGTTCGGAGGGTTGGCGTCCTCCTTACTATCATACCTGGCGTGATCCACTATCCATCGGGTATTATCCCGCTCTTAGGGATCGGTCTTCTCCACCATCCCGCGACCGACCTCATCCTTCGGACCTGAGGCATGCATCTCTGCGACTTCCTCAGGATGGGAGCAGCTGCTCTTTTTCTCCAGCGGAGTCCTTGTCATTGGCTCCCCCATACTACGGCGCCGACTCCGACGATTCGGAGGTCGATTCAACCTCCCCCGATGTCGTTATGACCTCCCAGGGCCCTGCGTCACCGGACGAATCTCACATCTCCTTCACGGAACTGATGTCCTGGCTTGTCCAGTCCCTCGACATCAACGTCATCCAGCGTCCGGGACCAACTACGGACAAGTTCTATGACGTTGTCCGCGAGGAGCAGTTGACATCGATCATCCTGCCGCTCATAAGAACCCTACAGCAAGTGATGACGCAGCCCTGGGACTTGCCCTCTCACCCTCAACCCACATCCCGGAGGTACAAAGCCATGTACAGGGTTCGGGAGGAGGACATCCCCTTCCTCCTCCGCCACCCCAAGCTGAACTCGGTCGTGGTGGAGTCCTCCCAGGGCAAAGAGGCAAGAGGGCACACCGCACCACGGGACAAGGAGGGCCGAAAGATCGACTCCCTGGCCAGGCGAGTCTACACTGCTTCAGGCCTGGAGCTGCAGATCTCCAATCACAAGGCGACGTTGGCGAGGTACCAATACTTCATCATGCAGTGCCTCCACAACGTCGCCTCGACCCTCCCGGACCACCAGGGTGACCTAGCTAAGGTCCTTATCAAGGAGGCAATGCAGGTTGCTATTCAACAGTTGTCCACAGCCAAGCACCATGTGAACACAGATTCGAGAGCCTTGGTCGGTGCCGTTTCACTCCGGAGACACGCCTGGCTCAGAAATTGCAACTTTCCGGAGGAAACCAAATGTCGCATAGAGGAGATGCCTTTCGACGGGTCCGGGTTTTTCCATTCTCGCACCCACCACAAATTGAAGAAGCTGCACGAATCCCGAATGATGGCACGCAGGATGGAGATCCAAACCCAGGCCAGGCGTAAGTGGCCATGGACTCGCCGATCTTATAGGCAGTCATACCAGCCTAGGCAGCAACCCCAGCACTGTCAGCAGCAGCAACAGCAGCGCCGCCGTCCACAGCCCCAGCAACGCTATCAACACGACCGTTGCCATTTCGATGACAGGAGACAATGTTGACGGGACTGGCGAACCATTCCTCTAATCCCTTCCATACCCACCCCCCTCTCATCTGGGGATCAGCTGTGAAGCCGACTCCCCATTTGGGAGTCCATCATATCTGATCGGTGGGTATTGTCCATCGTTCAGCACGGCTATCGGATAGAATTCGACGTCATTCCTCCTTCAAGTCCAATCCTGTTTACATCATGTTTGCTGGTATTGCTTGATGAAATTCAACAACTTCTTCGTAAAGGAGCGATTCGTCAAGCCTCCCCACCTGATGGACTTCACGGATTCTATTCCAGATATTTTACGGTCCCAAAGCGGGATGGTGGTTTACGTCCAATTTTGGACTTACGTAATTTGAATCGATTTATTGTAACGAAAAAGTTTTGGATGACCACCCTTCAAAATATTTTGCCGTTGCTAAGGAAAGAGGATTGGTTCGCCTCATTGGACCTGGAGGACGCCTACTTCCACATTTTGATCCACCCAAGTTATAGGCATTTCCTTCGTTTCGCAGTTGCACCCCATCTCTACGAGTTTACAGTTTTGCCTTTTGGACTGGCCACGGCTCCAAGGGTGTTCACCAAATGTATGGCCCCTGTCTGTGCCTTCCTACGCCTCCAAGGCATACAAATTTACCTGTATCTCAACAACTGGCTGCTGGTGTCCCAGTCTAGGGAAGGACTCCTTGCATCCATCCGTACTACCTGTGCCTTATTGGACGATCTGGGCCTACGCATTAATACCAAGAAATCTCTTCTTCCAACGCAGATGCTTACCTTCATTGGAGCCCACCTGGATTCGATGCTGGAGAAAGCCTTCCTTCCTCGGGACAGACAACAGACTCTTGCTCGCCACATTCATCGAATGCAACGAGACGGGACGGTCCTGGCGAAGTCCATCCAGAGGATCCTGGGGCATATGGCTTCCTCGGTTGCTGTGGTTCCACACGCCAGGCTTCGGCTCCATCCATTACAACTCCTCTTCAACAAGGTGTACCACCCTCAGAGAGATCCACCGTCAAGGGTGATTCGAATCCATCCTCGGTACTCCATTCTCTACTTTGGTGGTCGGTGCCAGCCTATCTGACTGTTGGAGTCCCCTTCAGGGCACGGTCTCCTTTGATAACCCTCGGTACCAACACATCTCTTCTGGGATGGGGAGCGATATGCTCTGGCCTATATACCCAAGGCACGTGGAATCGTCAGAAATCCACAAGTCATATCAATTTCCTGAAGCTGTTGGCAGTATTCAAAGCTCTTTCGAGGACTTTTTTCAACATCGGGTCTTTCAGATAACTTCGGACAATGTAGCTACCGTCTTCTATCTGAACAAACAAGGGGGAACAAAGTCACCGACTTTGGCCAGACTTTCCATGAAGATTTGGGACTGGTGCATTCCGAGAGACATCACGCTGATGGCTGTTCATCTCGCTGGTACGGAAAATGTGCAAGCAGATCTTCTCAGCAGGCACATGCTCATCTCTCACGAATGGGAACTAGATTCTCGTACACGCGACCATCTCTTTCATTGATGGGGGTTCCCCGACATGGACTTATTCACCACGCAACAGAACAAGGTGTGCAATGCTTACTGTTCGAGAGTGGGAATCGGACACGCATCCTTAGGGGATGCTTTCATGATCCCATGGAACAACATGATCTTCTACGCCTTCCCCCCCAATCCCTCTTATGATGCGGGTCATAGCGAAGATAGTATACGACCAAGCCTCAGGGATACTAGTTGCCCCTTGGTGGCCATGCCAAGCTTGGTTTGCGACACTTATCAACATCTCTCACGGGGAATATCTTCATCTACCACTGCTTCCATACCTTATAACCCAACAGGACGGTATGCTTCGCCACCCGAACTTGCTGTCATTGAACCTAACAGCATGGCAAATCCGATAACTATCATTGTTCCACTGGTGCCAACGACAACTTCAACTGAATCGGATCCTGCTGTCGAATCCAATCAATCCGGCGCTTCCTCTTCTGTTATTCATTCTGCATAATCGGATTCAAGAATTGATCTGTCAAATTTGACAGCCTTTCATCCTGATATCCAACATATCCTCGATTCTGCTTTAAAGTTGTCCACACGGAAATCTTACGTGGCTAAATGGAGTCAATTCTCTACCTTTGCCGAGTCCCATTCGTTCTCTCCATTTATGTCATCTATACATCAAATCCTTCAGTTCCTATTAGAACTGCACCATTCCGGCTTAAAGCCGCCGTCGATTAAAGTGTATATGGCAGCAATAGCTTACTATCGTGGCTTAGTCGACGGATCACCTATCTTCTCTCAACCTATTGTCAAGAGATTTCTTAAGGGACTGCATAATCTTAATCCATCAATCAGACCAGTAATGCCTACCTGGAGTCTTTCTGTTGTTCTGCAAGCCCTTATGAGA